CCATCCGCCCGCCCCCATCCGCCTCCTTCATTCATCAGTTCCGCTCATCTTCCCTCAGCCACTACTCCCACTGCCATATTCCTCTCACCCCTGCTTTCATACACCCCTCTCCCTCCACTATATCTCCCTTCCCTCGCGGCTATATTCACACACTGTCGTCCCAACGCTGCACGCCCCTCCACTCCCATCTAGCTCGTCTATGTCTCTCACCTCTTCTCACATGTACCAACCGATTTGGGTCCGGTATGTGGCCGCATATTTCATCGCAATTCATCACTCACTCTATTCACAGTCTCGCCCGCATCCCGCTCTTGGACTATGTCGCATACCGTGTACGTCACATTCATCATCGCCGTCGTCGTTGTCTGACCTTATGTAACTGTCTACAGCCGGTCGTGTGGTGCCTGGCTTGAAGAATGATAGTGAGTGCGCTGCCGCTCAGTTTTCTTTACCCGCTAATTATTTCTCAGGCATGAACTTGTAAGTCGGAGAGAAGGGTGACGCTGGCTGGGAAAGGTATGCGAACTCAGCTGCTCGCGCATCGCATCTTGATTGCATTTTTTGCCGCCGAGCCGGCTTACCATGACAATACACGTCGTGTACGTAATGGTCGATTATATCTTCGTGTTCAGTTCTACGGGCTGCATGTATGCCTGTAATTAATGTACGAACAAAACAATATGATTTTCCCAGAATTATCGAGTGGACTGAATTTTGTCTGTACGAAAGGGAGCTCTGGGGAATCTCTAGCGAGCACCCTACCTGCAAGCCAGGACTCGCTAGCACAGCTTAGCAGCGTCTGCTAGTTCATTCTCATAATGATGCAGCGGCCGCGCGCTAGTGAGCAGGTCGCTCGCTGACGAGAGCTAGCGGCCGCTCTCCTGCGCTAACGTTCCTGCTGTGTGGGAACAACTTTTCATGATGTCTCTTCTCGGTGGCCGTGTACTATAAGCGGCGCAGCAGCTTGCGACACTGATAGTTATCCGTCTCTCTCAGTCGCTTGATTACACAACAACACTCATTCCGCTCCCTCCCCTGCCAATCAAAGATTAGTCTGTCTCCCCACAATCAATGTATATAGTATCGTCATAGTCCTATACCCAAGCCTATTGTCTTTGATTCGTCCCAGTACATTCGAAATAGATCGTACAGAATGGCATGAATATAGCATATCACAGCAAACGCGAGTGCCTCGGGGCCGTCTGACTAGCCGCCGCCATCTTGTTTCTTCAGGTAGCTGAAGAACTCTGCATACGCATGATCGACGTCAAAGAGTAACTGGATAGGGAACAATAAGCAACGATGAAACGAAAATGGTAGGTTGTGAGATGTCCTGACTTGACGTGTTTGCTCTTCAGTGAGCTCTTCGGATGCTTTCATGCCGTTGAGCGTAATCAACCTGCATGATACGAAGACATGATGTCAGTAACTCCCTGGGTACAGCTCATCCCTTGACTGACCATCCGACCATCTTACTCCGACCTTCCCACTCTGTGCTTCCCTTGAACCGCGCGCAGCTTGTGACCAGTTCTTGCAACATGGGATGTAGTTGATCCTTAGCTCGAAAGTTGAGTTTCAGGGCGTCCATAAAGGTGATGAAGTTCTATCCAGGGCACCTCAGTACTGCGCGCGAGTGGACACAGGATCGGATACGCACTTGAGTAGTCTCAGCGATCCACTTTCCTGTCTCCGGACCGGCTTCGCTGGAGTGTTCCACAGTAGCAGGTACGCCTACTTGAAGTCGATGCAATGCAGCAGGAAGGTCCATCTGAGATAGAGTCAGGCTCGTGCCGCCTAGCTTAGCGACGTCCGTACGCACTCTATATCGACTCATGAAGCCCTCGATACTGGACACTTCATCACCGACCAGCTTCAACATGGTCTTGTACTGTGACAGCAACCTAGTACATGCCGGCGAGTACCTCTTGACTCCTCTCAGCTAAGCCATCACGACGCGCAAACCAATGTACGCACTCAGCTGCTGTCACCGAATCTCGGACATAAGCCCGCTCAAGGTAATCTAGCGCAACGACGATGCCGTATAGTGTAGCCAATGACTCATAGCGCTCCCTCTCAGCATTGGTGGTATATAGGCGCGCCTCCTCGTATAGTGAGATATCAGACATCGTGGACGTTAACCGGAAATCGTCGAAGCTCAACGCGCTCGGTTATCGCAATTACGGACCACCGGGCCGAAGCTCGTAGTCGCGTGAGATACGCGCTTGATGTGGTTTCGAACGCGACTTGGGCTTGCACCACCACCATCTCTCCGTCCACCCGTGCTAAGCTCCAGTCGAGATGGCTCTAAGACTTCGATCATCACCCTCACCTCCGGCCTTTACCTTTGATAATGCCGACTCCGGAAGCTCATTACCCACGCCTTCGTCCTCGCACCCACCATCACCGCCAACCTCATGGCTGCCCCCGAGCGAGATGTCTGTACTGGGTGCCATACCACTACGGAATACTTCAGATATCGGAATCGTTATATGTAAAGAGTGCTCTAAACCTGTGCTGCGAAGTGTTGCTCTGGATCATGCAGGTATGTCCCGCGAACGTTGTGGCGCGCCGGAACTGACTGAGATATCTTCGCTTTAGCCGTCTGTGCCGATATACGCGCCGGGAAGAAGGGCGTGAAAGCGAAGATGGAGGAGACTGGTATGTTCTGTCGTGCGTAGTTGAATGGCTTGGACTCAACCCTGATAGCATCGAAAGGCCAGAAGCGTAAGGCGGAGGAGCCTGAACCCGAGGCTCAGCCGAAGAACAAGAAAGCGAAGGCCGCTGCAAACGCCAAGAATCCACCCAAAGGACGCATCAAAGGTCCAGTCGATCTCGACCGCCATTGCGGTGTGATCAACGACAAAGGTCTCCCATGCTCGCGTTCCCTAACATGCAAGTCGCACGCGATGGGCGCGAAACGCGCCGTCGAAGGTCGCTCGCGCAAATACGATGACTTGTTACTCGACTGGCAACGAGAGAACAATCCCAACTTTGTGGAGCCTGTCAAGCGCGAGACGAAGAAGGAGAGGCTGGAGAAGAAGGCGGCGGAGAAGAAAGAGAGGAAGCGGCAGGAGATGGAGGAGCTCGCGCGCAAGAAGGGTATAGATCTCAATGAACCCGGGGCTGAGGCGAAGCTCGAGCAACTCAAGCAGTCGACGAAGAAGAAGAAAGCGCCAGCTGCTGCCACTACTGCCAACGCCACAACGACTGCGGCTCGCCGTCCAGACGAGCCCGCACCAGAGGACCTCGCGGAGTTGGACTCGGAGGAGGAGCTCGAGTCAATAGCGAAGAGCTTGCGTGCGGCTCACGATCGTGGCATGCTCGGAACACCACTCGCGCATCCGTATGATACTGGAAGCTGGTTCGTCGCACGAAGAGAACGTCTACGGAACTGCAAGGACCTGTTGGCGGCCTCTCTCAACGGGACTGGAGTGAGAGGCGCTTCTGCCGGCAGTGCGGTTGCAGCAGTTACTGCAGTAACGCGTATGAGCGTTTCCGCCTGAATTGTGCTTATATTTAGGATTCTGACATTTGGATACCACTTGTGTGAGTTTATAACCCTATCGTGAACCTCTTCCTGGATCTAACTCGACTCGTAACTGGTACACAGATACCTTCCTCACACGGACAATGCTCTCTGAATCACATCGCCTCTGGCACCTTCACCACATGTTCTCTTTCTACTTTGCCATCACCACCGTCTGCAGACACGAATCATCACGAGTTCATGTCGATTATTATTATCATTGATATATCGTTCAATAGTCCATATGGCCGAAACCCAAAGACAGACAAGATGATAGTCCTTCATGAAACGTGTACTACGTCCCCATCGAAGACACTTCCGGTCCCCTGCGGCATCACGACCTTCAGGTCGACGTGATGTGAACGGCGGTGAACTGCTGAAGGTCAGCCACCGCTCCGCCGCACGTGTCCAAAGTCAACTACAAGCCCAATCAGCACAGCTCAAAACACCGTATCCGAAAGAACGTACAGGAGCACTGGGCGCCTTCTTGCCCATAGTAAGACAAGCACCCGTCGCGTCGTTAATAACGGTCCCATCATCATGGATCGTGAAGTACTGGTTCAGGTCCTCCGGATCGCACTCGACGACAGGGATATCCGAAGCACCAGTGAGATCAACCCCAGTCGACGTCGGGCATCCGTACTGCGAGTTCCTGAGCGGACCCGACTTGCCGACGCCGTAGAGGGCGATGAGCGTGGTGAGGTCGCTGATGGTCGCGTTGCTGCTGCCGCAGATGGCGCCGCCGAGGTAGGAGCCGGAGGCGATGGGTGGGAGACCGACGCAGAGGTCTTGGCCTTCATCTGTTCGATGTGTGAGTTGTGCGGAGAGGGTGGAGAGAGCAATGGCATACGTACAACCGCCGTTGACTTCGAGGTGAATCCACTCGCGGTTATCGACGCGCTTAGTGGGGGTGGCGCTCACGAGAGCAGCAGAGGCAACAGCAACGATGGTAGAGAAGAGCATGATTAGGTATGAGTACGTTGAAGAGGAACGCTGAATGAACGATGTGGAGTTGAAGGGCGTTGAACTGCTGACCCTCTAAAGTACCGCATGATGCCCATTATATAGGCAACGAGAAGAAGGCTAGATCCCTGAGCTCGCTGCCGCATCATCGCATTCATGAAGGCCAACTTAGACCGAAGATCAGTCATATGCCCATGCTCTGTTCAGTCTCAAAGCGCGAAACACCAGGTGAAGGCGGAGGACATGCCGTGGATCAGCGCTTCCGCCCGCGCGGGCAGGGCAACGCCGGGTGGTGGCGAGAGCAGGGCAGAGTCCGCGTCCCGACGGCACTGAGCGCGCACTTCCAACGCGCTTGACCCGCCCCGTATACGCGTGGAGCCACGGAATCGACAGCCGCCACAGCGTCGTTCAAGGTCGAGAGATTCCGAAAGCGCTGCATTCACCGGTGTGAAAACTCCGGGGTGGGCGCTGGTTCTGGCAGGCTCGCACGGGTTCCAGGTAAACCTCGACCACCGAGGGAAGAACACGCGGAGAGGAGAGAACGAGACTCTATTCCGACGACGACATACGTATAAGTGAACTGCAAGACATAAAGATACATCAGTAAAGTAATCTACGAAGATCCACTGAACGAACAAAGTCCAAGTCTAAGGTCAAGCTTCAAGTCTAAAGCCGTGCAATAATCTATACAATAAAGCTATCAGCCCAATGACGTAGTACACCTTGCCCGATTTTATGGAAGGGAAAGTTCTTGACGTCGCGCGCGACGACGGCCGCATGGGTATTCCGGATCTCAGGGATCCATACGAGCTCCTTCTTTAACTGCGGCAGCGCGTTCAAGTGCTTATGAGCGCGCAATTGAGCCGGCGAGAAGTCGGGTGCGCCTGGAAGTTTCCCCTGGTCGTTGACGAGGATATGCGCCTCTGTGTCGGTTGGGCCGGGGTGTGGGTAGTCGGAGGTGCCCGACGGCGTCGGTGGTGTGCTAGGCTGGTTGGCGATCTCTGTGGCATCGTTGACGAAGCCTTCAATCTCGCGTTCGAGCTCGGCTACAATGGACAGAAGGCGAGGGGCATCGGTCTTCTCGAGGAGCCTGAGGCGTGCGCGTGACCATTTTGCGGAGAGAGCGAGGCGGGCGATGGCGAATCCAATGAATGAGGGTATGAGTATAGGGAGAAGGAGGGCCATGATCTGCGATAGGTGTGAATGCAAGTAGCGGGATCATGGGGAGGGATGGCGTACAATGTTTCCAGGGAAGCCAAACTGGAGGCGAGGTGGTATAGGGAGGCTGTTGTTAAACCTCTTCACCCAGGCTTTTGAGAACAGCTTCGGCTTCGGAGCTGGTGCAGGTGGCTCTGCGGGTATAGACCAAGACTTGACAATGGGTTCATAGCCTTCTTGGAATACACTGCGTACTGTTCAGCAATTGGCACGCGGAAGGAGATCCGATCAACGCACACATCGATCCCCGTCTTCTTGTGGTTCATGAACGGGTCGTGCAGTTCAACCGCAGCCGTGCAAAACGGAACGGTCAGGTCGTTCATCCTGGAGATCTTGTGAGCTTCGACACAACAGCCTTATCGGCATTGGGACGTACGCATTCGCATAGAACTGGATATGCGGGAAGAGGGCAAGCGCCTGGTAGAAGACGCGTTCTGCCGGTTGATGTGAGTGGTCAATCAACACTATGGAAGTGATAGGGATAGCTTACCCGGATCCGCCATGACCTCCACCAGCGGCCGACCACGCTTCGACCATTTGTCAACCGCATAGAACTGCTCGCCGGTGCGGCTCAGCAGGTACGGCCCGAACTTGTGGGCAAGCCTCGAGAAGAGTGTCGGATAATGTAGTAAACCGAGATTGGGCGATGCAAAGGTTGTGAAGTTGACAGGCTGCACTGTCTCGAAGAAGCCCTTCTGGTGCAAGATACTGCGGCACGTGAGTAACAAAGCCCAACTTCGCAGTTCCAAAGCACTCACCCGATGACATAGCGCGCGATGAGCCCGCCAAGTGAATATCCCATCACAGATATACGAGTGACTTTGCCGCCCTCATCCGCGATCTTCTCGACCTCGTCCAAGATCTCCTGCGCCACCCGCTCTCCTCCCCAGTCGATCCCATCATACGTGTTCTCTTGCGCGTTCGCGTCGGAGACAAGAATGCGGACCTGCACGCCGTCCTTGTTATCCTTGGATGGTTCCACGTGCGCCTCGGTCATGATGCGCTTTGCCTCGTTGAGATGGGCAGGGTATCCCCACATCCCGTGGATGAAGACGGCGAGATGGATTTGTTGAGAAGGCCCGGACATGGCTTAGATTAGGCAACGTGAAGGTTCAGCGTGGTGTATAGGCCAGAAAATGGAGGCAGATCGCGGTACGCAGGGACTTGTACGCCAGTAGGATATATAATGGGAAGATGATGTTCAGAAGAGAGATGGGTGTGTGCGTATCTATATCTGTCTCAAAGGTTGGCTGTTCAACATGCTCCGACTAGCCGCGTCATGGCCGCCGGCATCCCCGAACCTTGCCCCGTACAATCGTGTTTCCCATTGCGTGTGAGCCTGCCGCTGCTCGAAGTGGATCTCGGGCCGCTGATGCCAGTACATTGCGATACATAGAGCGCACCAGGTCTATTACTTGGGAAACATATGATACAAAGGCCAGACGCAAGAGTGGCTGACGAGCAAGATAGTACATGAAGGCAAAGTACGGTAGAAGCAAAGACCTACATTACAGGATAATAGGCGCGAAGAGAAGCAAATGTTCGGGAACGTCATGATCATCAAACGCTTGTCATCGTCGGCAAAGCGTCCCGCCCTTCCACGTTGCATGTTCCCAGGTACGACCCACGAGGCGGAGTTACCGTTGGTGTCACACGACGGTGCATGTTGCCTCCCCGGCTCACCCGTCTCCGCCCTGGGCTCAGCGACTTCCTTGACCTAACAGACTTGGCCGACATGCTCCCAAAGAAGGGACTCCCGCCGGGTACGGTCTGAGGGTGCATCGCGCGCGGCCCGGGCCGAAGGAACATGTTGTCTTGGACTAGCGCCGCGTGTGGCACTGGCGACGATGGCGGGGCAACTGGGGATAACGAGAGGAGAACTGTCGAAGATACAGGCGGCAACTGCCAGAAGGCATCGCTCTGCCACGAATCTGACGGCGTGAAGCTTAGGTAGGTCTCCATGAGGGCTGAGAGGTCGGTGATGTGGCTCGGGAATTTGTCTGCATCGGGCAGATCACCGGCCTCGTTCTTCTGGTCGTCGCGTATCGAGGCGCTCGACGCTGAGCGCGACATGGAGGTGCGCGCGGTGATGAACGAGGCTGAGGGCATGAGGCTCGAGATGTGGGTCGCGGCTGACAGCTTGCGTTGGATCGTACGTCTCAGACCCAGAGCGCTGAACGACATCGCGGGCATGCGGCGTAGGATGGGGCGGCTCCGGGCGGTACGGACAAGGGTTTGACGCTCAACGGACAGTTGAGACTTGGTTGGGAATGGGATGGTGCTTGTCTTTGATTCGGGTTCATGATCTTGGACCGACGTTGAGCTCTGCGACGAAGACGTCCTCTCTGAGGCCGCGCTGAAGGCAGAAGCTTCGTTAGTACTGATGATCTCCTTGCTAAGCGGGGGCTGCCCAGTAACATCTGAGAAAGCTTTCAATCACTCTACAAGGACCTCTGCCGGGATGAAAGCTTACCGGTGACCGTCACGGATAGATCGACTTGCACCCCAACTGTCGCGGAAGTACGAGCGCCGTGCGTCGCAGACACGGACTTCGAACGCTTGAACACCTTCGACACCGACTTCACGATCTTCTCGGCGCCCCGACCAGCGGTGAAGGTAGCAGCCCGTGGAAGCATGTTCAGGCGCGGCTGATCGCGGACAGTCGAGTCGAGATGAGGACGGAGGGATGGGCAAGGGAGGAAGAGTTTGATTGCGATCGCGGGTTTCATAGCGCTATACGAGCCGTGATACGAGAGTGTGTGCGCAGTGGTAGAAGTCAACGTGCAGTTGACGGGTGAAGGAGTAGTCCGGGCTTATTTGTAGGCGGGGTAGCTGTGTCTGGGACTGGGCTGGCTGATCATACCTATTGCGTCCAGTCGAAGACCATGCTATCAACCAGGCCGGAGTGTGACATCGGTCACCAATAGTGTTGAATTTGACATGAGAATGATGATAGTGGGACATAGCTCTGCGGGCTGATCACGAGCACTCTCAGGGACACCCGTACCACCCACGCGCCGTCTCGACAACACGCTTCTCCCCCGTTCAAACAACCCAAGTTCGTTCATCTTCAACGACCTCTGCTGCCTTGTTCAGGCGCAACGTCCCGATCTCTCCCTTCAGTTGCGCCTCATCGGTGAATGTCGTTTCGCCACGCAGAACAAGACGCCGGAGTTTCGACTGACGCGATCGTAGTTGCCTTAGAAGGCACTCCATCTCTCTGGCGTCGTACTGGTCTCTGCAATCAAAGACCAACGTCTGCAGATGGGGGAGCTCGTAGACGTCGAGAAAATCCCCCAGTGTAGAGGCGGTACCGCGGAGCTTTAGAGTCTCAATGGACGCATAAGCACCCTCGAAGTATGACGCCAGCGGTGGCACGCTATTCCTCCTCGTGTCGAAGTCCAAGACCAGCGTGCGCAGGTATTCGCCAACGGGGCCGGAATGCAGGAGGACTGCACTCGTGAACGCGGAATGACCCGTATCGTCCACAAACGCAACCGTGCACGATCCGATCGAATCAGACTCTGTCCCGCGAGACAGCACGACCTTCGTGACCTGCCACTCGCCACGACGGTCCTCAAACTTTACGCGTGAATGAGCCGCGATGCTCAGTGTGTCGCACAAAGGGCTGGAAAGGCGCGTTTGAATAGCCGAGAGGAGTTCCACGTTATCCGCAACATAACCGCCCGACGCGGTGAATTGGACGGTTGCGGTATGAGATAGGACGACAGAGCGCCAGAAGAAAGCGAGGTATAAGGCGCTAGCAGAGATCGTGAAGGTCTGAAGGCGAGGCATCTGGACCGGTAGCTGTCCTCGGTCCAAATTTGCTATACCCGCCCTGATATCAAGATGGAGATCGCGCCAGTCAAGCCGTTTATAATAAGCATCAGGTTCGATCGTGACCTCTTCCAAGCAAGGATACGCCGCTAAAGCGGCTGGTAGCCCCACAAGTCGCTCCCGGTCATCTCGGCTGTATTCAATGTACAAGATACGTAGATTCGGAGCCTGAATCGATAGCTGGATGCCGGAAGAGTGCAGGTGCAGCAAGGACGGGGCGACGAGGGGATGGTCGGGATCCTGGCAGTTGGCGGTGCGGAAGAATTGGAGCAAGGGAAGAGTGCGTCCGGTGAATATCAATCGATTGTGCTCTGCGTAGCCGTGATCAATGAGTGTCTGTGCTCGGGGAACCAAGTCATGGTCAATCGATTTGATCGGAAAGATGGTGGTACCATTATAGTTCACCCAAGGCGGGTAGTAGAGCACTATCGGGGCGTTCCGCGAGCGGGAAAGGTAGATGTCGAACATCGTTTTGGATGGGGCATATGATACGACTAGTCCCCAGAGCCGTGGCATAGCGAGAAGCAGTCCACGCCATCGCCGGTTCACTCCCGCAAGACGCGTCCATCCCAGATGATTATGCGGACTCGGATATGCCAAGCGCGTTTCTGTATTGTCCGCACAGAACTCGAAAATGACAGCAAGGATGTCCAGATTGAGATCTTCGATGTGCATCGGGCGTCGGGTGAGAACTTGCAAGAGTATATCACTGCGAAGTCTAAGCATGTTAGTTCGTCTGATTAACGGCCGTGGAAGATCTGCGGACATACGCCTGTTTCAGATGGGGGCTGTCGTATGTAGTGGTGGTCCAGAGGAAAGGTGGCGAACGCGAATCACCCCGTGTAACGGCCACGCGTGACACTCATGTACAGCGGGCACGGATGTTTCCGACGCCGACTTGATCCTGGCCACCTATACATGCAGGCTTGTACTACGTGTGTTTGAGATGCACAACCTCGCATACAGTGTCAGTCACACACCGCAATCAGTTCTGATTTCACATTGGACACTACGACGTAGATCAAGCCTAAGATAGAGTACAAACTTTGCGCATTTGACAACCAGAAGACGAAGCACCGGGTATACCCTTGAACCGTACATATTAAATATCATACATCTTGGATTCTTGTTTCGCGAAGCGTTCATATAGCTCTCGGTCCCATGCTATCCAGCTCAACGTCCGTCTCGTGTCCCGGCACCCCTTCGCCCGGCCTTGCGACATACATGAACCCAGTGTCCGCCGGGGAGAACCGCTGCCTATCTCTTCTCAGGGCCCTCTGCCTGACAACGGCCAAATACGCTAGTATGCCGAGTATACAGAGCCCGAAAAAGGCTGCGAGCGTTTCGCCTATGATCGTCCCGACGGGTTGGGCAAGTCGTCGGCTTGAGCGGGGGCTCGGGGTTGATGTGGATGTGGACGTTGATGTCGGTATTACGAAGGTTGGAAGCGCGCTAGATGTTGGGCCGGGTATTGATGAAAGCGAAGTCACACTACCGGATGTGGTAGGTCAGCAGAGTCCAATCAAGGAAGGGGGAGCGCGCAATCACGTCTCATTATCAGCAAATATCATGATAGCATCAACGTCCAGTCTCCCCGGAGAGACATATGTGAGCGCGAGCTCCATGTCCTCGTCGGAGGGCAGGTTGACGGCGGAGATGCTACCGACGGACGAGTTGAAGTTCGTGACGAGAGTCGTGCCGGCCGGAGTCGACGTGAGCGTGAGCGTAGCATTCGCGGTAGACAGCAGTGAAGTGCGAAGGGTGATGTGTGTACCGCGGAACGAGAGGAACAGCTGTGGCCCGATTGACAGCTGAGACGAGTTTAGAGGGCCGGAGGTCGTGGTGACGGTCCCGGAGGACGCGCCGGTCAAGTTTGCGACGGTCCTGCGGACATAAGCCAGTGCGCGTGTTGGCATCAGGCGAACGGATACATACCATGGCGCTGAGCAGTCGGATCCGTTGGCGGGGCCACAGTATGATGGGAAGTATCGGAGGGCAGGATTATCGTTCTCGAGAGTGACTACGATTTCTGCGAGAGCGAGGCCTGCTAGCGATAGGCAGGCATAGGCCAGACATCGCATGCAGAGCGTTGGGAGGAAGAAAGCTTCGTCGTCGCCATGGGCGCAGCGAAGAGAGACTTGATCAACAGCGGCTGACACGAAGAAACAGACGCTCATTAACCGCTGCGTGGGTAAGGGTGTGAGAATTCCGGGGGTCCGGGCCGGTCGGGTAGGTGGACAGAAACCGGGGATGGGTTCCTCGTTCTGGTTGCCTCTTCGACGACTCCTACGTTTGAAGACGTTCTCCGCTCTCAGCTTCGGCTTAGGCCCCTTACATTCTTTTTATCCCGCCGCTCTTTCTATATCCTAAGAAAATAATGGAGTCCGTCAACCAATTCTTCCGCCGCCGCAACATGCACCGCGTGAACAAGCGGCAGAACGCTGGAGGCAGCGACTGTCCAAAGTTCGCCCTCACTTGCGACAACAACCCGACGTCGACCGCGGCTCAGCAGACGACTGCTGATGCTGCCCCTACTCCCGACTCGACCACCAGCGCTCTGCCGACTTCGACCGTCGCTGCCCCCGCGGCGCCGACGACGACCTCGGCTTCGCCCTCCCGTGCGTGTGCCTGACCATTCGGCGCGTCATGTCACCATGCTGACGGCCGTTCCCAGCGACGAGCACGTCCGACTCTACGTCTGCTACCCCAGCTTCGACCACAGAGTCCTCCACTTCGTCCACGACAACTTCTTCAGAGACTTCTTCTAGCACGACCTCTTCAAGCTCAGCCGCGCCCTCCTCGACTACCGCGGCATCTGTCGCAGCTCAGACCAGCCTGACCAACACCATTGCCTCGGCCACTGCCGCCGCCGCTGCCGCCGGTACCCAGGTTCGTCTTCTGCGGGAACGTTTGATCGTTTGGACGTGACAGCTGATGGTGCTTCCATTCCCAGACCGCTGTCGTCGTTCTCCAGACAAGTTCGGCTTCTGTTGCGGCATCTAGCGCCAGCTCCTCGTCGAACCCCAACACGAGCGGTGGTACCAGCACCGGTGTCATTGTCGGTGGTGTAGCTGCAGCTGCTGTCGGTGTCATCGGTATCCTCATTGCCATCTGGTACTTCGTCGTAAGTTCGGATAAGCATGTCTTACAGCGCTGAAAACTAAATCTTCGTGTTCGCTTCAGCGCAAGTGTCGCAACAACGATGACGAAGCCTTCGACTGGAATGCCGACCAGGCCCGCCGCCAATCCCGCATGATCGAGGACGACGTCCTCTCGAGCGAGCCGACTGCTCCCAGCATGTTCGCTCCCACCGCCGGCAGCATGCGTCCGCCCACGATGATCGAGCGCCACGTTAACAACGCCAGCCCGATGCTCGCGCGTCAGCGCTCGATGGGCGCCGGCGCATACGGTCAAGAGGAAAAGTACGGCGCGTTTGACTACGGCGCGTACGGCAACAACAACATGGGTTACCAGGCGACCCCGGAGGAATTTGCGAACCTTCCGCCCCACAACGCTTATGCCAGCCCGTACGCGCAGGCCCCCATGGGCTCGCCTGTCAGCAGCACTGTCCCGAGCTACGACACGTACGGCAATGAGCCGCCCTCTGCGCCCACGCCCGCACTCATGCGCGGCCCTTCGATGGGCCAGGGCGCCATGATCCACCGCGCGGCGAGCCAGAGCCAGAGTGCGCAGGTCACTCGCAACCCGAGTGTCATGAGCCACGGCGGGGAGGACTACGCCGACCTCTCCCGCTCGAGCGTCACGCCTTTCCAGGCGCAGACATATGCTGAGATCCACGACCGCCTCGGCCCCGTCGCCGAGGAGCCGCGTGTGCCAGCCGCAGCCGCCATCCCTGGCGTCGCTGCTGCCGCTGCCGCGCACCCGCAGAACACCTCGACGCCCTTGCCGGAGTACCAGCAAGCGGCGCCGCGCGGGAACCCGGCGAACCATAACGACGGCAAGCGCCCCGATACCGTCTACAGCGCGATGTACGACGACGAGGACGCGTACGGTGGCATGTAAACGCCCCTTCTCCCACGTTCACTCGGAGAAGGAGTAGTCTCCATCGTACAGTCCAACACAAACGACATTGGACACGCCCATTGCATGGTGCCTAGTGCCAGTCTGTATTATCTTGCCCTCGCGCGTCCGCGCGTATACGCTCTTTTTACGGCTCGTGATTCGTCCCTCTTGGTCCTCTTAGCTCCTAGTCCGCTATGTTCTGTGGTTTCTGTGACTGTATCCGTGTTCTCGCCCTGCCCCGCTCAAGACCCCCACTCCGCTCGACGCGCGTTGATCATTCTACCCCTCCGCCGTGCGGGTGTTTGCGCTATTCCTCTGTCTCGAGAAGACGTTCACTACCGTTGTTGTTGAAGAAGAAGCTGGACCTCCATTCCTCCATACCCTACCTCTACCACCACACACCATGCGCCCACCTACCTACCTACAAATCCGCTCTTACCAGCTTGTCTGCGCGCTAACGAGCCACATCGCGTCTATACCCACCTGTCTAGCCCTCGATCGTGATCGTCACTCGCCCCGCCTTTCAATATTCCTATTCCTATTCACATTTCCCAATCCCGTTTATTCCTAGTGCAATGTCCACTACTACCGTGTACGCGCTCTCCCGACATGTACTCTTTGACGGTGTCATGTTCATACTGCATACCCCGGCCTTCTGCGTCATCCGTGACCCGTCCGTTCTATACTGGTAGCTTATGAATCGTGACTTGGTACTAGTACTGGATTCGACTCGTGTACGTGGTAATACGGATGTTGGCTCTTTAGGGCCGCATTCGGTGGTACTTGAATGCGAATTCTCAATTTATTTGGGGTCATCTGGCTTTGCGGATTACGCTGTACGGGAATCAGTTGTATACTGGGCAGGTTTTCGTGGTGGGTACTCGAATCGTGCGCGAACGCCGTGCGAAGCTGTGGTCTCCGGCCTCGATGCACAATAGCGATGATAGGTCCTCATCATGCTTCATGGGCGCGCGGGAGGGTACAAGCGTCGAGCACATGCTTGTCGTTTCCTCGTATGCTGCAGAAGCTTCTCTTCTGAGCCGGGCAGCGTCCGTGCTTGAAGCTTGAAGAATGTTATAGGATGATGATTGGTCAAGGGATGACGTGGGAAACTGTATCCACAGCGGCATAATATTTGCTCGTCGCTCTGTATGCTCATACACCTACTAGGAGTACCTGTGAAAAAATCACAATGAGTTTTTGAAAAACGTACAACGGACATCGACGCCTCAGATTCTTTTTTGCGTATTCCTTCGTCATGGCCGCCTGGCGAAATGGCATCGCGTCTGACTACGATCGTGTAATCAGGAGATTGCAGGTTCGACCCCTGCGGTGGTCAATAATTCATGTTCCGCTTCTTTTGTCAAAACACTTTTGTCAAAACGAAGACTTGACAGCATGCGATTTGCTTCCGCAGGTAGTTTTTGGCGGATTTTAATCTCTCGCGGGCCTTCGGTTCTTCAAGTTGTCGTTGGACGCTGTTCTGGACAGACTGTGCTTGTTTAACATAAGGATGCGCTACTTAAGCTACCTGCCTATCATACTTAAGCTATAGGACGGAAGCGCGCGACGGGAAACAGGCTAGATCTTGAACACTAGTGTCCAAGGCAGTCTCGCACAATGTCGCGCTGCACACATTGCGGCTGCGAACATGACCCCGCCTTCTGCACATATGACGTCAGATATGTAGGTTCGAGACTTGGGCATGTACTCTTATACTCTGACCGCATTCTGAACAGGCTCAAGTAGTTGAAGGACACTGGAGTGGGCAAGCCGGAGCATCGCCGAAGTGCCTCGAAGTGGTGAAGTGCGCGTTGAAGCCGATCAACATGGCCACGTGCCAGACGCGTCGCGTCGCGCTTGCCCTCGAACGCGTCTCTACTGCTTCACTCACGTCGATCATGTCTAGCGAACGGCAAAAGATCATCATACGTGTAGGAATACAGACCTCACGAGTGCTTCCTGGTGCTGACGAACTTGAATATAGGTCTTCCGCAAATATAGCCATTCGCTTGGCCCTGATGAGATAGCCTTTCTTGAAAATGTACTCGACGACTTTGGCGTTTCAGATGAAGATGCAGAATACAGTGTCGAATTGGTTGCGAAGGAGTATAACAGACAAGATGGTATGTTTACGATGTGGCTCATTGGCAGTTGTCGTGGCTCACGCGGATTCATAGATGCTGCGATGAAAGTTACTCTACCAGTACTAAAACGCGTGCTCGATGCGCTACAACACGCCGGCGCATCCGGAGAAGGGCGGATAGACGAAGGAGACCTTGATATTGACGCGCACTTGTCATTCATAAACGCTTTTGAGATGCCGGTGTGGCGCTGGAGTACCGAGCGAGGGGCATTCGAGAGGTATGTACGCTCTTCTTTCTGGAACGACGCACGTAGGGTTGACTGATCTCAGTGTCCAGGTCCACTGCGACGCCTGGTGCACTAGGATCTGCTGAAGCGCGCGTCTCTGCGACTCGCGACCGCTTACATGTCATCCGACAGACGATCTTGCGAAACGAACACTTTACGCCGAGCGCTGTACTGACGCGAGATCGTGCGCACTTATTGACAGTAAGCGGCCTGCGGCCTCATACTCTGCATATTGCTGACTGAGGACGTAGATCAGGTCGACGAAGCAGTTGTTGGGACGGGCTGGCGAGCGCTTCCTTCTATTTGGAATGCTGTCACATTCCAAGGAGGGCAAGCTATGCTTAGAGGACCAAGACGGCAGGGTGGAGCTTGACTTCAGTCAATTGGTATGTGCACGACCTCGACCACTATACGTCGACGAACTGATTCTGACATAGGATGCGCCCAGTGAGGGCCTCTTCACCGAAGGCGCCTGCGCGCTTGTCGAGGGCGACTATACGGAAGACGAGACGTTCGTTGTCATCGCCATTGGCCATCCGCCATGTGAGAGCCGCGAGGCGGCGAGAGCGATATACGGGCATGTCGACTTTCTTGGCAAAGGTGCCACAACACCGGCGGAAGATGTGAGCGGTCTCCCCACCACGCGACTCTCATTAGCTCAACTTCCTTTCAGGCCGCATTCGCGAAACGCATCGAAGCAGACTTGAAGCATGTCACATTCTTCATCATGTCCGATGTATGGCTTGATGAGCCGGACACGCTACGTGGACTCAGGCGGATCTTCGACAATTGTATCGAGAACGACTATATTCCGCTCGTACTTGTTATGTGCGGCAACTTCTCGCGCAAGGGCATCGCACATGGCAATGCTCGTGACGTTGCTCGGTACACAGGCGAGTAAGAGTCCCAGTCCCTCAATGACTACCCGTGCTGAACAGCTACTTCAGAGGGCTTTGACATGCTCGCAGATCTCATCGCATCATACCCAAGGATCACTCAAACAACGCACTTCGTCTTTGTCCCTGGTCCTGCCGATCTCTCTGCAAACTCCTTGCTACCACGCCGTCCACTGCTACAAACGGCCACAGCCCGTCTACGCATGAAGGTTCCTCGGCTTACTCTGGGCAGCAATCCGTCACGCATCAAGTTCTTCGGTCAAGAGATCGTCATCTTCCGTGAGGACACGATGGCGCGCATGTTGCGCAACCTCGTTGGCGTGAAGCCTGACGTTGGAGGCGAAGATCTCAAACGATATGTACGAACTCATCCGTTCATCGTCTCGGACATCACGCTCAGATCCATCACAGCTTGTGCAAAGCATACTTGACCAGTCGCACTTGGCACCGCTCACCTCCAACATCGCGCCCGTACTACCCGACTACGACCACTCGCTACGACTATACCCACTGCCGACATGTGTCGTCCTTGCCGACAAGTATGAGAGTTATCGCATGACGTACGAAGGTTGCCATGTTTTGAACCCCGGGAGTTTCATTGGGCATACGTACCAGTTTACCGCGTATACGCCGGCAACACGAGAGAGCGAACCTTGGTAGGTCTTCTTCCTCCTTCTCCATATGATTAGAGACTAACTGAAACATTGCAGTGTTGTGGATATGGACTTTGATGACGCTTGATCTGCACATGTATCCGCTGTCGCTTTGCTTTCGCACTGCATATTATACTTCATTCTCTTCAGCCCGTGCCACAAGTTCATGTCATGCAAGTGATGCAGTCGGCTATCAAGCACATCATCAAACCAGAAGCGTGGCTGTCGCAGTCCTTGTTTTACAGATTCCGGTCTTGTATAACACCGCGAAGTCGGCCCAGCGAACATTCTGTATCGTGCTCTCCAAATTGACTCCCTTAAGCGAGAGCGGCAAGCTTGGCTCCCCACTCTTTCTCCGTCTTGCTGTACTCAGCAGAGCGCTCAGGGACCGAAGCCCCGTACAACATAGGCTCAGCGATCTCGGGAGCCCAATGCGCCCTCACGAAAGCCGCCACCTCGTCGATGCCATCCAAGATGCTACCGCTAGACCACACTTCCCCATTGGTGCCCTCGGCTTCGTTCTTCTCATATCGGCGTGTATCGTTCCATTGGACCTTCGGATAGAGCTTGCGCAGTGTGGGTATCATCGCAAGCGGGGCTGTGCCGACCTTGCCGTCAAGAACACCCGACGGGGCGACCGCGATGATACCAGAGCACACGGACAAGATGTGCCCGCCGGCTGCGTTGGTGGACTTGATGAGCGTCTTGATGGCCTCCGTGGGGACGTAGTCAAGGGGCGGGCCCGGAACGACGAGGATGTCGAGCTTCGGGGCGTTCTGGATTGAATGCTAATCAGGTGCAAGTCAGATCGGTATACAAACGGATTGCGGTCGCCGGGAAGCTCACGGTGATCACAATCTTAGCGCCGCCTGTGATGGCCAACGGGCTTGCGCCGTCCTCAGTGATGTAGACGATGTCCATGGGTGATACGAGTGGCGCCATCGGCGCCGCGTTGGGGCCAAGGATACTCAAGTAGTCGGTGCTCGCCATGGCGAGGATGTCGACGGACGATATGTCCGAGAACTGCGTGTGGCTTCTCAGGATAAGCACCCCGACGGTGAGGGGAGTAGTGCTGTTGTACATCTTGAGACCTGGAGCGAATGTTGGAGGGGTGATGAGTGCATCGTCTGGTATTCGTCTGCTTTATAGGCTAGGACGGGGAAGTACACGGCGGTTCGTTCCGCGAATCGTCACGTTCTCTTCTGGCGTATATGGCAGTCATAGTCCAAGTGGTCCTTGGCCGGTCACATTGGTATAGCGGTGTATGCAAGTTGAACATCCGATGGAACTCCCCGCTCTCCGGCAGGCTTCGTGGCAGCCCGGCAAGCATCCTCATCAGTTGGTGCGGCCCACCGGAGCAAAGCGGCACCTGAAGACAACTAGCCGCAGTATAGTTGCTATGCTACTCAATTGAGAAGGGCGGATACGACAGACCTGAATCCTCTCACAACGGGCTGTGCTGAAGGAATGCCACTGATTGAAGGGTACATATTACATACTCGATACAGCGGCGCGTCTAGCGTCGGGAATCCAAACCCTGCCTTACGGTGTACATTCTGATCATATTTCGTCGACATCGTTTCGTATATGCAGCGTCGAGAGCGCGCTGCCACGACAGGAATCCCATTCACGGTCCATTCAGGCGCCTGCAAGCTTCCCTGTGACCGCCCTGTCTCCAATCACTGCCAAGAGGGCTCAGGGCTCAGCCTGTCTGCACGCGGCTATAGCATCGGGTACACTCACAGTCTTTGACACTCTTTCCCGCAATACCAAACTTGGCCACATCCACGACAGGTTGAGAGCGCTCGCTCTGTCGGTTCACGGTAAAAGTGGGCACACCCGCGCCAGGAGCAGTAATGCGCAATCCGTGCGTCCAACTCCGAGCGATTGGCCACCAAGGCGCCGAGGCCGGAGGCATGACCCCAGTCGTGTAAGCTTTGAGCGAGGGAACCCGCAAGCGCCCCAGCAGGCGATGTCTTCTGCTTAGACGCAAGACCTCTCAGTGCGGCTACGGACAAAGACCATAATCGTAGCCCAACAACGTCTTTGAAGCTGGTGAGGAACTGCCCGGGGGCTGAAGTGGAAGGATGCTGATCAAAGATAGTCACCAGATCCTCCAAGTGTCTTTCTGCTAGGGTATTCAGTGCATGATCATGGGGTGGATAAGGCCGAAACCACCTGACAGAAGAAACAGCTCTTCGAAGAGCAGCTCAAGTCCACGCTTAAGAACCGAAGAGAAACGATCGGGTGACAAAACGAGAAAGGTGCCAGGCGTTCCCGCTTGTTGGTCTGTGATGTATATAGTTCTGAAGTGACGAATTATGAGCAGCAGGGCCGCCGGCGAAACAGGATAGGCGTACGTGAGAACAGTACTGATAGATGACCAGCAGGACATGTACGCCATATCCCGATGTATCATCTCGAACGTAGGATTCCTAGGCTTCTGTATCGACCCGCGTTGGCACTGTCGTATCATGTCCTGAAGACGAAGCTGACTACACAGGAGATCCCCGGCGACTCCTGAGAACTTCTTGGACCCATGAACTAAGGCAAGCAACCGTATCAGCGTCGAGATCATGAGAGATCGGTCGAAGCAGGCGTGTAATATTGTGTGGCGGCCTCGGGCAATATCACTGGCGGTAACGTCCGTCGCGATCCTGATACGGCGAAGGATCGCTTCTTCGCCGTGCTCTTCGATGATCATCCTCATGACTTGCGAGTCGTCTGAGAACAAAGCGAATACTCGTTCCCCATCCCACACTTCATCCTTCGGCCGAACGAGCTCAACTAGACTGTTGAGAGGCTGTTCCGAAGTGCCCTGCTCCTCCGTCATATGTATCCAACAGAAGAAGTATATGTGAACGTCCTCTAGTACGGCCGCGGTCGAGAAGTCCGATCTCATCGGCATCTGTCAGTAACAATAGTATCGTCATGATCGCCATAAGAGGAGGACTCACTGCGAGACTGCGAAGCGTCTTCGGTAAGTCGTAAGGAGATTGAGAGTGCGTAGCAGAAGCGGTCCAGAGGGGGCGCACAGTACGTGGCGGCGAGAGTTCCATAACGTCCGTATCGGCTCGGTACGAATGGTGTTCAGAGCTTGAGACTTCGTTTCGTCATCGCCGAAGTTACGAATCAGGATGGCGAACTTGCCAATCGCGGCAAATGCCACATCGACGATATCCTGACAAAAGATTCAATATAATGACATGATGAGGAAGACTGGCTGACGAACGGCGGGTAGATCCAGTATTTGTGGTTCCGTGAAAAAGCCACATAATAGGCCAAGTAGACCTGTCGCGGATAGATTCGCTATGCCAGCCTGTCTTATTGATAGGCCTAGTTCAACGTGCTCCAAAGCTACGCAAACAGCACATCCTCTCAGTAGATCATAGGCGGGCTCGTCCTTCGCGATGATGGCAGCCCGGTACAGGTTGGCAAAGAGGCGAACCGCGGCGGAAGGGTCTGTCAGGATCTCGTGTATTGCCGCAGCGTAATCTGTCCGGTACGGTGTCGGCGTGGATTGAAGTGTCTTGCAGGCATCGTCTTAGATGTCAAGTAATTGGTCAAGTGCTGATCAGTGAGCGTACCTGCATCGAGTCAGATGGAAGTCGGGAGCAAACATGTCAGACGATAGAGCGGCATCGACCTTGCCTGATGAGGACTTGATGAGGACGCCGGCGGCTGACGATGCACGAGATCAACGCCAGCCTGTGAACTCCACTCCTTCCATCCGTATTTGGTGACAGTCACTCTCACACAGGGCCGCGAAGCATAGCTTGGAGGTTCAATCAAACCAGACCATACTCTGAATAGTGCTGAATAATCCCGTGAGTAGAAATACCCTCGATGTAGGTCATGGCTGTCGAGAGGCAAGATGTTGCGGCCGGCTAGAAAAGCCGAATATAATGTCACGGACGCGTGACGTAACGCGTCAGTCACCGAGATCTCGAACGCTCGCAACCGCGTCAATCCGGTCTTGTGGCCTTTGCTTCTTGCCATCACCTTGCATCCATTGTACGTAGACGCCAGGTTCTACGACTGAATAGATTACATGAGAGTCTGATATTTAGTCAGAATCACCGACCATGTCTTCCGATCGCATGTCTTCCGGTCAACAGACGCTCGACAGTACGTCTTTCTTTACTGCGCGATAACCCCGTTGAATGAAGCCCATCGTAGTTCTATTCGATATGTCACAACTCCTCGGCACGCAACTTGACAAGGAAACGCTTGCAACATGCGTCGGCATGATTGAGAGCGGCGTGAACCCCGAAGCACTGGCTGTACGTCTACTACTTCTTGAGAATGTGCTGAGGCTGATGGGTGCGAATAGGCCGTCATCCTCGAACTCCGACGCGAAGCTCAGGCTCACCCGCCACCGAGTGCGACGAGCACCACAACCCCAACTGACGGTCGCGCCTCACGGCAGTCAGCCTCGCGCCCGCCGACGCGGACTGGCTCTCGCCGTTAGCTATCCGATATACCCGCCTGTATGAGATTCGTTGATCATAATCTGTGGGAGACAATACTGTAGATGATTGCATTATATGTACATATGTTCAGATCGACCAGGCATATGCTATCGGAGACGCAAACGCAGGACATGGTGACGGTCTCGAAGGGGAGAAGGAGACTCGAGAAGCGCATAAGGATACGACAAAGGGTAGCTCGAACGATGTTGAAACCACATGTAACGGCCTGTAAGTAGGAAAACACAGACGTATAGACGAATACCATCTCAACAGACAACACCCCAAATGAAACAAGTACAACAGATCTTAAAACTGCACAAACAGACTCAACCATACCTCCCCCACCTCCCCCCCGCAGGACTCTCCCGCTCCCCATACCCATACCCCCCAATCGGACTCGCATAAAGCATGCCCCTCGCGAACCCCATCCCGCCCGACGGCGTCCCCTCCCCCTCAAGCGCCCCCGCCCTCGCGTCCATCCTCTTCAACTCCTCATCCAGCGCCGCACCGGGATCGTGCGGGTCGAAGAGCGCGTTGAAGAGGCCAGGCGTGCGGAAGGGAGACTGGGCTGTGCCGGGGAAGGCGAGGCGGCGGGGTGTGAGGGGCGTAGCGAAGACTCCCACCCCAGGACCAGACACCTTAGAATCTTTGTCTTTGTCTTTATCACCCTTAGTCCTGCTCGGCGTCTTCTGCGGACCCGCAAACGTACTAGCGGCCGCATTCGCATTCGCGTTCGTCGTAGAGCCGGATCCGGAGGGCGTAGCAGACGGGAAACTTGGCGGCGGGAAAAGATGCGTCTTAAAATGCGCAAGACTCGGGCTCGGGGACATATGCACGCCCTCGTAGCTGAGCGGTGTACGCTCGGCGCTCACGGCGTGTTGCGTGCGCGATAGAGGCGGCGGAGTGCTGAAGCGCACGGGGACTCTATCCGTATCCGCCCCATCTACATCTTTCTCGTCGCCGGAGGAGGACGTGCTGTTTTGTCCGAATGTACGCGAGAGCGAGCCAGGCGTGCGCGCGAATGCTGACGATGGACGAGGGTAAAGCGGGACGCGGCCGGGTGTCGCGTGATTACGGGCGGAGAAGGCTGGCGGGTGTGGGAGACTGCCGCCGCTTGGTGCTGTTGCTTGGGGTGTCGAGGGTGTGGCAAGCATTGTAGAAGGTGCAGCGAAGGACTTGCTCTTCGTTGGTAGACCGGTGTGAGTGGGCGGTGGTGATGGTGAGGCGGTGCGAGCGCGAGGCGGGGTGCTGAAGCGCCGGGTGAGCGGACGGGCGGTCGCACGTCCGCGTTGAAGTGTTGGTGATTCGGGGGCGCGAGGGGCTGGTGGGGCTGGTATAGCTTTCGTTTGTTGCTGAGCGACCTACGTAGGTAGACAATGCATCAGTAAAATAGATCTTAATGTAGTGACAATCAAGGTATTACCTTCGGCTTAGCCTTCGTCTTCGCCCTAGCCTTCGCCCGTCCCCTCCCTCGCCTACTCTGCATCTCTTCCTCCTGCTCTTCCTCCATCTCATCATCCGTATCCATATCCACATCAAAGCTCTCGACCGCCTTTGGGCCCTGCGGACTAGACAGATACGCATCGTATCGCGCCCTCTTCCTTGCATGCTGATCAAGGGGACGCGGCGGACTAGGCAAGCTATCCTTATCCCTCGCCTTGCCCTTCCCTCCACGAAGGTTGTACCTGAGCGCCGACTCTCCAACGGTCACCGATATAGCCGAGGACGACCCCGCAGCACTCGGCGGCGTGGAAACGCCTAGGCTACTGGCAGAGACCGAGCTGCCAGGTTGAACCAATGACGGCGGCGAGCTATCCTCTTCACCAGCCTTCCCTGGGCTTTCATCGTCTTCTTCAGGATACGACAAGTAGTCATCCGGATCGTCGCTCAGATGTCCCGGACGACCGGCATACTCGATCTCGATACGTGAAGGTGCGGGTGAAGGTGAGATATTGCGCTGAGGAGGCTCTGGCAGGTCCGCGGGTTGTTCTTGCTCCTCATCGTCATCATCAGCGAAGCGGGCTTCGTATGCTGCACGGCTGGCTGCTGCTGGGTCTTCGACCTCGATCGAGGCGGGCTCATGCTCAAGTGTGGGTTCTGGCTCGGCTTCTTCGTCCTGGAAGCGAGCCTCGTAGGCCCGGCGCTGGGCAGCAAACGCATCGTCCGCCTCTGGCTCTTCGACTTTGACGACGGCTGCACGAAGTTGATCGAGCGGCACACCCATCTGAACATCCTCTTGTGCCTCCGCAGCAGCAGCAGTGGGCTCTTCGTCGTCGTCATCATCGCGGAACCGTGCCTCATACGCCGCGCGACTAGCCAGGTACGCATCGTGTTCGCTAACGGCCTCGCTCGGGTACCTCGAGCTCCTAGTTTCGGCGAACGATGCCGACGAAGGTGGAACGCGGCTGTACTCCGATGAAGCGTAGACGGACGAAGGCGGCGGTAGATCGTAGTCGGTCGTCGCGACGCTCGGCGCACGAGACGATCCGTAGTACGATTGGGCATACGACGACGAAGGCGGGACGTATCGGCCCGAATAGTCCGTCGCCGCGATACTCGGCGCACGCGAAGACCCCGCCACATCGTCTTCGGGCTCGTCCCTCCTCGCCCGTTTCGTCCTGCGTCCGGATGCAGAGTTCGGCGTCACTTTCACAGCGGGCGCTCTGAAGCTCGGCTGTTTGCTCTCCTTGACCTCAGTCTTGACAGCCCCATCCTTCTTCTTCCCCGCGCCCTTCTTCGCCATCTGCTCCCTCATCTCCCTGACCCTCTCCTTCCTGAACCCGCCCCCTTCAAACGCGTCCACATCCTCGTCCCAGATCGCCCACAGCGTGCGGCCCGCCGCGCGTTCGCGCTGCACTTTCCTGAACACGACGGTGGTGGAAAGAACGTGGCGAATGGAGTTCTGCCATGTCTGTTCGTGGCGCGTGAAGTAGGGATACACGGTCGTTATAAAGTCGTATATCTCCTGCAACGTCAACCGATGCGAGGGGGACGCCAAGATCGCCCGCCCAATCAACGCAGCATACGGCGCGTCAGGTTTATGCGGGCTATACGGTCCCGGCGGCAGCACAAAAGGCAACGGAGCCGGTTGCGGCGGCGGGGGCGGCAAATGATGTCCTCCCCTAGTAGTGGTGGGGATATACGGCGAGCTGGAGGGCGGCGGGGGAGCGGGGGACGAGCCGGGCGTCGAGTGCTGGGGCGAGGGCCGGTAATATGGCGAGCTGGAAGAAGCGAATACGAGGGGCCGGCGCGCGGAAGATGCCGATGCGGATCCGGCGGTGGATGTGGCGGGCGAGGGACCCGGGGCGCCGTACGCGCGGGACGTGCCGGCCAGTTGGTCGTAGACGTTCGCGCGGTAATGACGCGCGCTTGCGGGTGTTAACGGTAGCGGTAGTGCGTCCTGATAAACAGTATGTTGAGTATAAAGGCAAAAGGATAAGATGGGAAGGGAAGCGCACGTCGCGGGGCGGGGCGGGCCGGTGGGCGCTTGTGGAAGAGCCAGCTTGTGGTGGGTTCGAGTCGTCGTCGTCGGGGCGGGGCCGCTTGGCACCGCGCGTGGCGGTGTTCGGGTGGGCGGCGGGCGTAGCCGGAGGCTGCATCGAGTTCTCAGACGCGAGGTACTGGCGCATCTGGTCAGAGTGCCGGCTCAGGTCGTCCCGGGTCATGCCCAGGCGCGAGAGCAGGAGCGACACCGGCGACGCGGGCTCCTGCGCCATTATTTCTCGTGTGATTTCTTTACAGACTTGAGATTGTACAGAAGAGACCTAGAGGCGACAGGGGTGGGCCAATAAAGGCGAGGAAATAGAGGGTTGCCGGAAAGGTCTTGAAGAGGAACAAGAGGAGAGGGGCGGCGCAGGATAATATTCGTCGCGGCGCGTCATTTTGATCGCGCGTTTCGTGTCGAACTTGCGGCGTGACTGTGACCGGCCTGCTTAGCCTTTACAGCAGACCACCATGGTCTACCACAATCTCAAAGGTCCGTTCAATTCCCATTGTGTCCGACAATATAATCTCACAATGCATAAACAGCGCTGATCAAAGGCATCCGGGCCTGTAAAGTGCGTTATCTACTCTATGCTAGCCACATGTCATCCTGACATATGTATATAGACCGTCGCAGACGAGCGAGCACTCATCCAGCAAGAGAGCGCGGCGATCCGAGCCTCGTTTCGCGAAGAAGACTCGTACGCGCGCCACAACAATGTCGCGAAACTGCTGTACATCCACATGCTCGGCTCGCCGGCGCACTTTGGGCAGATCGAGTGCCTCAAGCTCGTCGCGCAGCCCAAGTTCTCCGACAAACGCCTCGGATACCTCGGCATCATGCTCCTGCTCGACGAGTCGCAGGAAGTGCTGACGCTCGTGACCAACTCGCTCAAGAACGACATGAACCACGCGAACATGTACGCCGTCGGCCTGGCCCTGTGCACCTTTGCGAATATCGCGAGCGAGGAGATGGCGCGGGACTTGGTCAACGAGATCGAGAAGCTGCTCGGGTCCAGCAACACCTATATCCGGAAGAAGGCCGCGTTGTGCGCGTTGAGGGTCATCAAGAAAGTGCCGGAGCTGGCCGACCATTTCGTCGCAAAGGCCAAGAACCTGCTCACGGACCGCAACCACGGCGTACTGCTCACAGCCATCACACTCGTCATCGACATGGTGCAGGCAGACCCGGCGATCATGGACGAATTCCGTGGCGCTGTACCGCTGCTCGTGCGACACTTGAAGCAGCTCGTGACCACTGGATACAGCCCGGAGCACGACGTTGGAGGGATCACGGACCCGTTCTTGCAGGTCAAGGTCTTGAGGCTCATGAGGTTGCTGGGCAAGGGAGATCCGCAGGCGAGTGAGACGATGAACGATATCCTCGCCCAGGTTGCTACGAATACGGATGGGACGAAGAATGTTGGAAACGCTATCCTCTACGAGACCGTGCTGGCTGTGCTGGAGATCGAGGCCGACGACGGGTTGAGGGTGATGGCCATCAACATCCTCGGCAAGTTCTTGAGCAACAGGGATAACAATATTCGGTATACTATGCTCTCTCATCCCTCATGCTATCAATGAGGCTGACACTACACACACAGCTACGTCGCCCTCAACACCCTCAACAAAGTCGTCTCAATGGACACAAACGCCGTCCAACGCCACCGCAACACCATCCTCGACTGCCTCCGCGACGGCGACATCTCCATCCGCCGGCGCGCCCTCGAACTCTCCTACGCCCTCATCAACGACCAAAACGTGCGCATCATGGTCCGCGAGCTCCTCGCCTTCCTCGAAGTGGCCGACAACGAGTTCAAGCTGGGAATGACCACCCAGATCTCGCTCGCCGCCGAACGCTTCGCGCCGAACAAGCGCTGGCACATCGACACGATGCTCAGGACGCTGAAGTTGGCGGGGAATTATGTGCGGGAGGAGATTCTGAGCGCGTTCATACGGCTTGTGGCGCATACGCCTGAGCTGCAGGCGTATACGGCGAGCAGGCTGTATCAGGCGCTGGAGACGGATATCAGTCAGGAAGGTCTGACGCTTGCGGCAACATGGATTATCGGCGAGTACGGTGACGTGTTGGTCGAGGGCGGATTGGTAGCCGACGAAGCGCCCAAGCCGGTAAGCGCCATCCGTTTAACTCCGTGATGAGCGCCCATCTGAACTGGCTTCCTTGCTCGCGAACAGGTCACAGACGCCCAACTCATCGACCTGCTGTCTTCTATTCTCGACTCGCCATACTCCAACCCTCTCACACGCCAACATATCGTCACGGCTGTGACGAAGATTGCTGCGCGGCCCAGTACGAGCGTCGCTCAGCAGACGCGTGTAAATGAGTTGCTTGCTACGTATACCACCAGTCTAGAGCTGGAGATTCAGCAACGCTCTGTCGAGGTCCATATCTTTCATCATCGACTCGTGGGATTCAAAGTGCTGATGGGTGCCATGTTTGTAGTTCGCAAGTCTGTTCGCTCTTGGTGATGTCCGTGCTGGTGTACTGGAGAGGATGCCGCCGCCCGAGCTTCGCGCGACAATGACCGGTGTTGTCAGCGAGAACAGAAGCGTAGGTAGCACAAAACGCGGCGCCGAGGTATGTCGTTCGTGATCCTCATCACACTCATACTCTTGCTCACTCCTATTTTAACAGGCGGACCTTCTCGGAGATGACATCGGCGCAGCACCAGCATCATCCGCGCCCGTCGCAGCAGTGGCCCAAAACAACCAAGACCTGCTCGCCGAGATCTTCGGTTCGTCAGACCCTACACCAGCCACTGCACCCACCGCCTCCGCATCCCAACCACAACGGAAAGCCGTAGACGACATCCTCGGTCTATTCGGCGCATCTGCTCCTTCCGCTCCGTCTCCTGCGCCTCCAGCGGGCGCGATGTCGCCTTTGAGCGGTATGGCTTCGCCCGTGGGAGGAGCCAGCGCAAGCCAAAGTCTCTTCGACGCGCTAGGCAGCGCACCATCACCCGCACCACCCCAAGCCGCGCCAGCACCCGCACCCGCCGCCCAAGCCGCAGCAAACCAGATGCCCAGCTACCAAGCATACGACAAACACGGCCTACAAATTCGACTCACCCCGCGCGCCGGCGCACCGGGCCAAGTCAGCGTTCTGGCCCGATTCGCGGCTGCCGGAGGACCGGTTACGGGGCTGTCGTTCCAGGTGGCGGTGCCGAAGAGCCAGCAGTTGCAGATGCTGCCTATGAGCAGTCCGGATGTGAGTCCGGGGAAGATCGAGAGTCAGCAGATGCGGATTATCGCGCCGCCGGGGGTACGTGCTTCTCTTTCAACATACTTGACTCTCGAAGGACGGTAGCTGATCAAGGCGTTGCAGAGCACGATCAAGTTGAGGTTGCGCGTGAGCTTTAATGTCGGTGGGCAGCAGGTCCAGGATCAGGTCGACTTCGCGGGGTTCCCACAGGGCTTGACGAGCGGTGCGAATGCCTGAGCGTTTGTTTGTTGGACTTGCGAGATGTGGTTTATACGTGGATGTATGGATTGACACCGATACCGGCCGTTCTGCTGGCGGAATGCTACATAGACTCTTCGCGCTGGGCTTTCGACACGGCGGTATCGCCGGGGGCAGTTGGCTCGAGCTGAGAGGTTTGATGAGATGTAGCGATTCTGTGGCGCGCCGTCTTGACGCGTATTCTTGGTGGTTGTTGGATAGCTGACGCGTGGGAATGGATAGACAGACGCCGTTTCTATTGGCTTTGCTGTCGCGTCGGCAGTACGGTGTACTCGTCACTGGCTGCCGAGAGCTTGCGTCTTTCATCCTTCTGGTCTTCTACATTCGTATTGCAGTTTGGTTATATATATTCAGCAGAGTTGACGTTTCCCACTTCAACAGACCCGCAGAATAGGTCAACTTTGCCATACCTCAGCGCTCAGCAACAATGTCTGATGCCTTCACCTCCAAAGTCCTTATCGTGAGTCCACCTCTGTTGCTTTGACATATGTCGTTACTGAAAAGATCCCTCCCACAGGTCGGCGCCGGTCCGGTCGGCCTCGTCGCAGCGCTGGCTCTCTCGTTGAACGGAGTGAAAGTGCGCATCATCGACAAGCTTCCCGCTCCTGCCGTTGGCCAGCGTGGTTCTACCATAGCCGTGCGTACACAGTGTGCCGCTCACTTGTCAACCTATGACTAACCAACGTTGTAGCCGCGCACCCTTGAGGCGTACCGCCTTCTGGGTATCCTACCCGACGTTCTCAAGCTCGCAACACCCTTCCCAGAGATCCAGGATCATTCTCCTGATGGCACACCCGGACGGCGCTTCTCTATTCTCCCGCGCTTGCCGCCGTCCCCCGCGGTGCCGTACCCTAACCACTTGCAACTCGGACAAGACTACGTCGCGGGGATACTGCGCGAACACCTTGAGCGTCGATGCGGGGTCAATGTTGAATGGGGTACGGAGTGCGTCGGGCTGGAGCAGGATGGCGATGGTGTGAATGTTGCCATAAGGAAGGGAGAGACCGATGGGCGTCTAAAAGTTGAATATGTCATCGGCGCTGACGGCGCTAAGAGTGAGCGCTTGATGTCCTTGCGCGCTCTACTTGCAGTAGCTGATGTTTCATGCAATGTGTAGGTATGGTGCGCAAGCTCACAGGCTTCTCCTTCGAGGGCGAGACGGCAGCGGACACGCGTATGCTCATCGGCGACGTTGAGCTATCGGGCTTCGAAGGAGAAAGCACGGACCCAGCCATCCGCATGTTCAAAGACGACGACGGTAACAAGTAAGCACGACTGACATTCTTACCTTTCCCACATTGACCGACTTGAACACAGTATCATAATCCGACCTGTCCCCGAACGCCCAGGCCTATGCTTCATCGTATCCCGCGGCCCTCTGCTCGATATCCCGCGAGCATGTGCCGATCATGCATACCTTTTATCTCATATCCGGTTCCTCGCGTCTCGTGAAGACATCAAGATGGGCGCGGAGTGCACCGTAACGGAATGGCACCTCAACGTTCGCATGGCGAATACCTTTCAGAAGGGACGCATCTTCATCGCGGGCGATGCCGCACATGTACACAGTCCTACCGGAGGACAAGGGCTGAACAGCGGTGTAATGGACGCGGTGTGTATCTTGTTGCGGCTGTAGTCTGTGCTCACCAATGCTGACAACGATCATAGATGAATCTTGCTTGGAAGCTCGCCCTCGTTGTGCGCGGGGCTGCCATACCCTCACTCCTCGACACCTACAGTACCGAGCGCACGCCACCCATACGCGAGATGCTCAACCTCACGACCACACGCACAAAACACAACTTCGCGCTCAAGCGGACAGCAGATGCAGCAGCGCACCCGCTAGCCTTCCGCATGCTGGGCGTGCATTGTCGAGGCAGCGATATCGTCAACGACGAACTGGTCGTCGATAGGCGGACCGAAATCGAGGAGGTCAGCGCTTACGGAGGCGAGGGCGAAGACACTGGGCGCGTTCATGCTGGTGATCGAGCGCCTGACGCGCCTGGACTACGCGATGCCGACGGCACGGAACGCAGCCTTTTTGATCTCTTCGATTTGGCGAAGCACACTGTTCTCGTCTTCGACCCTGCGCTCGTGGACGAGCTGCTAGGCGCCGTTCAGACATTCGAAGTAGAATGCATACAGACGTTGTTGGTGCTGGAGGCAGGCTCAGCGTCGTGTACCAGCCCTCGCGGTGTGCAGGTCGTGGTTGACTTCAAGGGGCTCGCGTCGCAGGCGTATTCGGTGGCTCAGGGCACGCGTATCGCAGTCGTGCGCCCAGATGGCGTTGTGGGCGGTATGCTCAAGGGTACAAAGGGTGTCAATGACTACTTTGCGCGTGTCTTGAACTCTGTTGCTTGAACACTAGTACGTACACACCTGAAGCACACACGGAACATGGCACTTACAGCAAACCCCACAGGCGTCTTGGCCCGAAATGTCGTTTTGGACGGCGAGGCGGTAATGGGATCAATGGGGACGTGCACGCATGCAAAAATCATCGAAGCAGCATGTAACATACGGTTCGGGACTATTCAGATGAAAACGATAAGCCACGGAAAGGGTATAGGTACCAGTCCGATTGAGAAGATTCAGGCCGTACGACGTAGATAGTCCGAAATGAGAAACGAGAAGCAAGAGCATGATAACCAACAGACATGTCCGACGAAGCAGGACCAGAGCCATGGGTATGGCATTACGACCGACAACCAGAAGACTTGAGACGTAAGTAATAATAAGTGTTTTCGGCCACCTTGGGATTCGAACCTGCCCTCAGACGCCATAATGCACAAACGGGACCCATCTCTCGAAGGCCGTCTCCCCCACCCACTCCCTGAGGCGTCTGGTAGCTTCATGGAGGGCGTACGCCGCACCCGTCTCCCCTTGTCCTAGAGACTCGGTACTCCGACATTCGAGCAGCTTCTTGTAGTACTCCTCCACGACTACCGGCGCGTCCTCGTCCCTGATGGACCACATGGTCGCTACGACGCCTTTGAACCCAACTGCAAGCATTCCAGCAGCGAGATGTGCCGACTCCTCTGGGATCTTGCTATCGCCTGCCGCTGTCTGACATGCGGATAAGAACGCTAACTCTGCATTGCCCGCCACAGTGGCCATGAGCGTGCTGAGAGTGAGTGGGCCGTCATAAAGCGCGAATGCGCTTTGCGTGGGGTCCTCAAGGTTTTGTGATCCGTGGCAGGCGAGATGTACCCAGGGATGATGGTCGATGACGGCTAGTGTAGCTCCGACTGTTGCTTGCTTGTGCTCGAGAAGCGTCTGCTTTCGCTCTGGAAGAAGGGCGCGAAGGAGTGCGCTCTCGAGTTGAGTGCCAGGCAGAGGGGTACTCCCTGGAGTATCGGGCTGTGTGACAACTAGCACGTTCGGCGCCGGGTTCTCCTTGACGACGCCATCACAACATTTGAGGAGGGCCGAGAGGGAAGGTGTATACGAGGAGACGATGTAATCGAATACACGGTGCCCTGCTTCTTCGTCGTACAGTCCGGCTGCATGCAGCGGGAGCTGCGTAAGGGGACCGGTCGGACACCATATGATGTGTGGTAGGCGGTCGTTTCTGGATGCTCGTAGCTACAAATCACTCAGTTAGTACACTCCAAGTCGGGCAAATATAGGCATACACTCACGAAGCCTAGTGTCTTGAGGATGGGGTGTACGACCCACAACCACAGACGATTCAGTACTCGCGCAAAGATCGCCGAATCGCTGCGCATGGCCGTGGGCCCGCCCGTAGACATTCCGCGGCTACGTGATCCGCATAGATCGACATGCCTCGTCCAGATCTCATTCATGTTCCGCGCACGTCGAAGCGTGAGAGGAAGTGGCACCAGCTTGACATTGCCAGTGGAAGACAGGACAAGAGCGTCACAGCCAGATTCGGCTACGTTTATGAGGACCAAAGTCCCATTAAAATGAATGAAAGCAGGTGATGAGATGAGATTGGCAAGCGTTCTCGGACGCAAGAAATTCTTGCAGCCGATACAATGGCGAATCTGACCCATGAGGATGTCATATTGATGAACGATTTCGCGATGGCGCTCAGCGCCAGTGTATGCAGAACCCTGGAGTTCAGAGTGGATGTCGAAGAGGGAGCGGGCGAGGTCAGGGTGATGATCTCCGATATCGTCGAGAGGCATGCGCAGGGACAGTATCTGTGCCCAGATCAACGTCCTTCCGGCTTCCAGCCACTCTATCGCCTGGCGTAGAGACCCGGCACGGATGGCGGCTGCCACGGCCGTATTCACGAGCTCGCCGAGACGTGCTATCTCCGCGAACCGTCTTTGAGGGCTATGACCCAGCCACGCGATCTCTGGGAGAATGCTGATGATGAGTTCATGTGCATTCAAGAGCGATTCAGCAGAGCTGAATGGGTGAGACTCGGATAGGAAGTTGGCATAACGCATAGCCACATGCAAGCGCAATGATGGGTCGCCTAAGGGTTCGGTCATGACACTCATGAGGGATTCGCACGTCTCGTCGTAGTTCTGTCTGGTTCTGAACTCCATGAAACGACTTCGTAGAGACAGAAAGAGGTCGTTGAGGACACATGGCCTATCAATGTGGGCCTTTGAAGTGAGCTCGACTGCGACGCGCCGCCTCGCACGGATCGCTTCTTCAATATCATCCAACTCCTTATAGTGATCAAAATGATGATGCAAAGAACGGCCAAGGGTCACGAGTCCTGCCCGCAGTAGACGAGGGTGGTCTTTGGGCATAGCTTCGATCCCAAGCTTTGTATATCGCACAGCGCTCTTGAGATCAGCGATCTCGCCGATGTGCTCAAAACGTTTGAGAAGAGAGCGCCCGAGTGTGATGAGCTGTTCTGCATCGCAGGGATGAGCGACCGTGGCGTGGAAGGGGAAGGACTGTGGAGGACTGAGTGTGAGCAAGAGGGCATTCCGAAGTGCTGCGATAGAATCATCTAAATCCATATAGTCCCCCATTCGCTCAAAGCGATGGAAGAGGAACAGGCCCAGACTTGAGAACTGCTCCGAGGCATCCAAGGTGTAGATGCCACAGAATTCTTCTATACTGCTCTGAAGGATGGTGACAGCACCGTCAAGTTCGTCGCTAGTCAACGACAAACGCTCAACGCGGGAGTCGAACAAGTCGTGGAGGTCCTCGGTTTCCACGGTGATAATGTCTCGTCCGAGTAGTTGATCGGCGTCCCGTCTTAGTCGATCGACATCCCGGACTGCAGCAATGGCACCTTCCAGATCGTCGAGCTTCCCAAGGCGTTGGAAACGGCGGCGCAGATAGACATCAAGTTGGCTGAGGCCTTCAATCTTGACGATTGAAGAGTTCGGCATCAGTGCGATCCTGCGCTTGCAAACGTCGATCGTACTGTCGAGATCCTCGAGCTTGCCCAGGCGCTCGTAACGCAAGTACAAAAGGTAACTCAAGTTGTGGAGGAAATCGTCTGTTGACTTGAGCCTAGCCAGAGGGTGGTTGACGGCGTCCCAGCTCCGGACAATTGCCTCATCAAGCTCCCCAAGACCGCCGTAACGGTCGAAGGATAATCGCAGACAGAGGCTGAGCTCATGAATGCAACGAGGTTTATTGCGCTCATTGTCGTGTACGATTCTGACTGCACGTCCAGAGAATGTAAGAGCCTCCTGGAGGTCCTTCTCCTGCCCCAGGCTTTCGAAGCGATACCGGAAACATGTGCCGAGATCTGCGGCAAATGGAGGGTTCAATTCGTAGCCACCCATTTGTCGTAACACGTCGATGGCATCGTCAATGTCTTCCTGCTTCTGAGCGAGGCGAAACCGGAGACGCAGGAAGCGGCTGAGATCGAGGAGAACGCATCTCTTATCTGAGTAGTACGTGATGGAGTTTGCCGATACGATCTTCTCGATACGTCGTGTCGCTGCGACGGTGACATCCAGATCGTCGAGACAGCCTGTGTGCTCAAAGCGCCGATATAGGCAAGAGTACAGGTCTCTCCGCATATTGACCGACGCTCTCGAGACTGGGGCCGACTCGAGGCCGTTCTGTAGCGCGTCTATCGCTTGGTCCAAAACGTCGAGGACGCCAGAAAGTTCGTAGGCCTGGCGCATCTCAGAGGCTCGCGATGATGCAGCAGCGAGTTTGGAGACAGGTCTTATAACCCTCTGAAGTCGAGCAAGAACGCCACTTGGAGTGCGGGTACGCATGGGAGGCGTAATGACATTCCGAGATTGCAAAGGGTAAGGGTTGGTTGTGGGCGTATGACGGCTAGATTCGTCCTGTTCATTGTCGTCACGCGAGGTCCCATGCGACGATGGGGGGAGTTCACTCAGAGCGGACTGCCGAATTTGATCGGTGAGACGAATGAACATCAATTACTGTCAACTCACAGTTGATAGGTGAGACACGTTTCCCCTCATCTCCGTAGTCCAAGGCCTCAAGAAAACTGGGGTTGAAGAGAGTCGATGACTGGGAGCCTCGTGAGCGATCCGGGTGCCAGCGGGGTATAGGTGTTACGGGATGTACGTGTGCCGCCATATATAATGCGGGTCGCAATCAGTCAGGTGCGATCCTATGTGAATACACTGTCGTCAGAGGCGCAATGACTACCCGAAACGAACAAAGAGGTACCTTCAGACTCCCGGGTTTGACGTTTCAACCTGATTGGCCCTGATCTTGACTACGTATGCAGGGCGATTGTGCGGGCATACGCTGTATACAGCGCGGGTCGCTAACGCAGGTAGTGCACGATACTTGGGTGGTCGAGATGAGAGGTCTCGGGAACGCGCGGGTCAGTATCTGCCAGTGTCCGCTCAGCCTCACTGTCAAGGACGTAGATTGGCGAAGACTACATGTATACAGTGTAGCTCATGAAATATTGAAGATTCCGCTACCCCACTTCCACTAGTATCACATGGTGATCCTGTGAAATGGATCTCAGATTTCAGATCTCGAGTTCTCTCTCAAGTTCAACGAGGGTTCACGACCCCCTGATACCTGTTCTATAGACGCTCCGCGCAGCGCAGCTTCCATAGCTGATGCACCGCGACCCACGACGAGTACACTGAAGCGCCGTTGGGGGGATGATGACGCCATCGGGCCCAGGCTCACGATGAAAGCTCGGGTCAAACGATCCGTTAACGTCGCGGATCGAATATGGTAAAGCAAATAACTAGACAGAGCTGGTGCATACCCGCGCGTATCACCGCGACATTGACGACCAGCGGTGGGCGCAGGCTGCACGGTATTGCGATGTCCTTGAAATGCTTTGACTTCGCTCATACATGCGGAAGCTGAAACGCTGGCCAGTCCGAAGTCGGCGTCACCACAGTGGGTCGATTGATACCAGCTTGTACGTAGCCCCGTGGACGCGTGCTTGTCGATATGCCGTCGTAATGGGAGTGCGAGGTCATAGGAAGATGCTCCAGAGTGAGTGGATTGAGATGATTATGGTAGTAACATGTCAAGGTTGTCGCGTGTCGCGCGGATGGAGGCGCCCGGTGTACTGATTATCCGCCTTACTTCTCACGCCTGATGCTCTGAACGTGCTGATGAGTTGTTAGTGGGACGCGAACCGAGGACGTCTCGGTCGCGTTTGCCGTCCGGTTAGCCGTCAAGTGGTAGCTAGCATGAAATCCATTGATACACAAGACCATTCGTAACACTACTCCGTAATACTAGACATGTACACCCGAAACGCGTGCAACCAGATCCCAGAAGATGAATACATCTAACCCCAAAAGAAATACAGATGAGAAGAAGTTATCCCGGCTGAAGAGACCAGCGCTTCACATGGAGCCAACGGGGCTGTTGAGGTGCATCAGTGTATGATGTGAGTAGACGGTAGCTTTGATACATACACGGGAGCAACCGAGGTAGCCGGGCCGGGGTCGGTCTTGAGGGTGGGGAACGCAGCGGTGGCGCAAGCCTGCTCGATGTCCTTGTTGGAGAGACCGGCGGGGAAGGTCGCCTGAGCGGTGAAGGGCGGCGGGGTGGGGATGACATCGGAGCAGTCAACGAGGGAGTTGACGTTCTGGCCAAGAACGACGAGCTTGGCCATGGCAGCAGCGAAGGTGCTGGTCATGTGCGTCTGCTGGTTGGCGTTGGCCTGCCAGAAGCAGTTCGTGCGCGAGTCACGGGCGAAGAGGTGGTCGGACTGCAGCCGGATCTCGCCGCGAAGCGGGGACATGACCTCACCCTCGTTGGGACCGTCACCGGGGAAGAGCGTGCCGCGGAGCTGGGTCTCGACGAAGAACTGGGTGTCGAAGCGGTTGGGAGTCGAGTCGAAGGGAGTGCGCGGGATGGAGCCGTCGACTGAAGGCGGGGAAGGATGATGAGCGGGTTAATCGCGCGGATGCCAGAGAGACGCTAACCGTTGTCCGAGGCACCAACGGTGTGGGCACTCAGGAGAGCGACGACCTCGGCAGGAGAGAATCCTCCGCCGTCCTCCATGCGGGCAAGAATCTAAAGGCAGGTATCGTGAGAAAATGCGCCACTCGTGGGAAACCACCCTACTCACCTTGCCAATGTCATCGAAGGGCAGGGGAACAGTGCCGTCGGGAGCCGGGCGCGTACCGTCCTTGCGACCGAGGAGGAACTCGAGCTTGGGAGCACCTGGGCAGTTGGTGATACCGACGGCGCCGGCGAACTGGATGAAGTCGGCGGTCGAGATGCCGGGGTGCTTGGCGATGAAGCGCTTCTCGAGCGCGACGATCTCGTCCGTGCCGCCATTTGCGGGGAACTGCGTTTCTATGTCGCCAAACAGGACGAAGGAGCCGTCGGCGCCGTCACTGTAGAGGTGAGTAAAGGGAAGGGGGGAGGAGATCCGGGGGCGCTCACCCGAAGGACGAGTTGGTCTTCGAGATACCGATCGCGTCGTGGAAGGTCAGACGAAGAGCCTCGTGCGCGTTGTCACCGCACTCGTTGTCGAACAGGTTCGCCTGGATGTCCTCGAGGACGGGGAAGAGAACACAGCACGCTGCGTTGGCAGTAACACCGCCGCCGGGACAGGTTACGCGCTTGGTGACCGCAGCTGAAAGTAGGTATCAGTATAGCGATCTGTTGGCTGCAACCAATGAGGCTTACCGCTGGCTGCGGTGGCGAGAGCGACGATGGAGAGGAGCTTGGCGAAGGCCATTGCGACTGGAGGAGGACCGGTGGAGTTGAAGAACCGAGGAGGCCTGGCTCTTTCGTCTCGTTCAACGTCAGTCTTTATACCACGTCCCCGTCCAGTGAGCATCATGTTTGCTTGTAAACTGAGAGACGCTACCGACGGAGGGTACATCCCGTACAGAGGACGTTCACAGCGCAGGTTCGAGCCAGCAAACCAATGGGCGAGTGTGTATTCACCTCTTTGATCAATGAATCGGCCTCTTCTGGCCTTAGTCTGCGTCTCGGTTGTACCAGCCGTTCCAAGCTCACTTCATTCCCGTGTCATACATACTGGACGTTCTCGGCGTTGACACCGTCGACGCACGCATCGGGATCCGCCATTGGTCGTATGCAGTCGTTACACTCACGATGAAGGCAGAGTACCGAGTAAACCTTTGATCCTGTGGGCGAAGCGCCCAGACCAGACTTACCGTCTACCCGTATCCAGTCGTAGTTCAATGACAAAGCGGACTTGCGGCGGAGGTGAGGCAAAAAGATCGTGGCTGCGTAGCCATCAGCTGACAGGGTTTTGCGGGCTATGTCATGCGAAGGTAAGAATCACTCACGGAGGGCAGCGCCGTGCACCATCTTCGGTGCGAATGGGCAGCTCCACAGTGCTACCATTGTCTTGTCGCGTCCCAAAAGTGCCCTATCCTAACTAAGGTCATGATGTCAAGGACCAAAATTGCGACCCCTGTAACATTTAGTCAAGAGGTTAGATGTGTAGAGTGCAGGAAGTGCCGAATAGGACTACGTACTGCGCAGACTACTTCTAGCCGACGTACCGGCTAAGCACTGACATACGCACTGATTGGACACAAGGAACGCCTGTCAGGATACTCTGTGAGAAGCCCGTTCAGAGAAGCCGCTGGTCCTAGGCTCAACACTTTTTGCGTCATAGCCGAGCGAGCTACTGAGCACGGAATCGCCAGCCTTCTGTGGGAGCTAAGACATCTCGAGCTGGACAAAGCTCTCAGTCTCATATGCGTGTTCGTTCAATATCGCCAGATCGTACGCGATGCTGCATCGTTGCCACTTCATTATGCTATCCTAGGAACGCCTATAGGTACCGTCTGAAAGCGGCATTTCAGGTAAGGCAACTCTGGTACGAGAATCGGACAGATTAACCTGAACACGATCGAAACCCATGCAGGTGATGAGTGCAGGCACGCTCGACCCTGGGCACACTATCAAGCATACGACGCCGATCGTGAGCCCCGCTTTCACACTGATGGCTCAGATGTCGAGGACGCGCTTCTGCCAAGCAAGCTCAGTACGAGTGCAAGAGGTTTAAGCCGAGAACGTTGATCTCACGTACCTTTCCCAGCCGTACGAGGCGTGTCCGAAACGCTATTGTTTTCCTTGAAGGGGCGGCACTGGAGTGATTTACCGTCCAGTTGGCTTGGCTTGACCACCTGCAGGCGCGGATCGTAGGGGTAGAGTAACGGCAGTGTGGGTCTTCGAGTCCTGGTTAAGAAAGGTATGTGCGGCATTCGACACTTCCGAGGTCAGCATAACGGACTTCCTGTGGGCAGGACCGGTGAGTATAGTATAATGTCCGTATGCACGAGGCGTCCTACGCACCCACATAATACGCTCGTTGGCAACGCAAAGGTGCCGCGCCGCTTCTATGCCCAGAGTCTTCGTCATCCTGTAAAGACTGCGGGATGAGTGCGAGTACCCCGAGTAGCCCGAGAGCTCACCGAGTCATGTTAGACGATGTCGTGGGCATCAGCGCGGCCAGAGAGCGACTCGGCTATGCCTACGCTTTGAGCTTTAGGTTCGCCAACGGCAGGAACAAGAAGTCAAAGCCGCGAGGGGTGGCAGCAACTGCCGCACCGCCTAACGCTCGAAGCCGCGGCAGCAGATCAAACTTCCCAGCTTCCCGAGAAACGTTGGCCCACGCCTAGTCTCGAGGCCACCCCGCAAAATCCGACATGAGAGAACGAGTAACAGGGTACTAGTATTGAGCATGTCTTGTAGGTACAACGGATGTGTTCTAGAGAGGCTGAATGCACCCGGGCACACCACTGAGCGGCGAGGAGAAGATTGAGGTCAGGATCAAGTTGCGCCGGGCTGTGGCGCCCGCGCTTAGAGCTGACCCTAACCCTGGCTTGCTGTACACAAGCCCGGCCTGCTTCGAGCCTTGCCAATTCCAATATTTCTTCACGCGAATCTCAATGCGGTCGCGCTGACCTCAGTCCCAATTCGCGCAGTAGGTATAGTAGCAAGAAACATAGTAGCGTAATCATACAGTACAAACACCAGCTCCAGCAACATCAAACAAACACACAAAGCGCGTCCCTCCCATACCTATTCCCCCCCTCGCTCAACTCCCCCAAATCCGGATAAAACGGCACAAGCGCGTCCTCCGCGCCCAAATACAGCGCATTATAAATCCTCCAATACACCTCCCGCACCTTCCGCGCCGGATGGAACAGGCCCTGCAGCACATAGCTCAACAGCACGCCCGGCCCCAGCGTCACGCGCATCGCCTCGATGGCGTCCATAACGGCCCCGATGACGTGCGGCGAGGTCTCGAAGCAGTTCGGCCAGACGAGGTTCATGAGGTGCAGCATGGAGTCCTCGCACCCGAGCCCGGCGACGCCCAAAGCAAGGTGCTTTACGATCGTGGAGGCCGTTTGACGGTGCACGAGGTCGCGGTCTGTGAGGGCGTCTTCGAGCATTGTTACGACGGAGTCGACGTAGTAGGAGGATTGCGGCCCGACGTATTCGAAGACGAAGGAGAGGGCTTTGAGACAGCCGGTGCGGACGTTGAGTTCGGCGGTGCGGTACTCGTTCAGGATCGCCGGGATGCACGTGAACGCTGTGACCTCTCGTCAGCATATGCCCGTTTTGCAGTATAGAAAGGGGAAGGGGAAGGTACGCACGTCCACAAGTCTCTGCAACAATGGCGATCGCAACCGTACTACAAACCCGGCTCTGCCGCTCCTGCACCCTCAAATTCGTTAACAACACCGCCAACACGTCCTGCGGACCCAAGCTCTTCGCGATATAGCCGAAAGTGTTGACGGCCGCGCGGCGGATGCCCTTCTTGTGCGCCTTGAGCAGGTCGAGCAGTTCGAAGCAGATGCGCATCCATTCGCGCGCGGGGACGAACTCGGCGCCGCGGTCGGCGATGCGGCCGATCAGGTTGATGGACGCTTCTTGGACCTTTTCGTGTCGGTTGCGCAGGATGGGCGTCATGCGGGGTACTGCAAACAATGTTTAGTCAGTATATACACGAAGTCGATGGTATACGGTGAGGGGACTCACGGAGGTCCTTGACGGGCGGGTTCATCTGCGTCATACCCACCACATTCGCAATCGCGCCCTCAGCAGCAATAATGCTACCAAGCGTATCCGGATACTCCTCTCCAAGCTGCTCGAACAGCACAAGCCCCAGCTTGCTCAACAGCGCGTCCTCCCCACACTGCTTGATCACCACCGCCAACCTCGTCGTGAGATCCGCCGCCTGCTGGCGGACCTTCGCGCTCTTATTGTTAAGGCGCCACAGCACCGTCGAGACGATCTGCGTAAGGTACGGTTTAACGCGCATGCCGAGAGCGTTGACGACCGTCCCGAACCCATCGAGCATGACCTGGTCCTCCGTCGTCTGCTCTTGGAACGAGTAGATGATACCGTCCACGAGCCGCTCTTCGAGCTTCTCGTCGACGTCCGCCGCGCCGAGCGTCTGCACGACCTTCGTAATCGTCTCCATAACCATCTTCCTATACGGCTCCGCCTCGTCCTTCAACTGGTTCACGATCCGCCCAATAACCTCGCTCGCGCCGGCCTTCTGCGCCAGCTCCACAGTCGTCTCGACGACCTGCTTATAATTCCGCTTATCGAGCGCCATCCGCCTGACCCAGAACGCCTTGAAGAAATCGGGCAGGATGTCCTGTTTGATATAGCCCGGCGTCACACCCTCCGTCGCGGCGCACTGCTTGACGACTTTGAGCACGATCTTCTTCATCTCTTCGTCCGAGGTCTGGAACTCGCGGATGAGGATGATGGTGACTTCTTTGGTGTAGTACGACGCGTATTCGGGGTCCATGAGCGGGATGATGAATCCGATGGCTTTGAGGAACGCCGCGAGACCTTTGCCGCGGTGCAGACGGATACCCATCCACAACGGCTTCAGCACGTTATCAAACGACTCGATACCGTACGGCGCGGCGGCTTCGGCGAGAGCGGCAAGACCCAGCGCTGTCATCGTGCGGACCTTCTGCTGTTCGTCCGAGAGACCGTGTGCGATACAGTCGACGAGGTTGCGGAGGTGGGGAAGTACGGCGCAGCCCATCATGATGGCTATTTGCTGCACGATACGGATGCCGGTGTGACGCGCTTGCCAGGACTTCTTCGAGCGGCAGACGGCCTTCAAGAAGGGCAGGAGCGCGGGTATCCCGAGTGCGGACGCAACGACGGAGAAGGCGCGTGCGGTCGTGTTGCGAACGTACTCGTCCGCATGGTCGATATCCGGACGCATAGTCGAGATCATATGCGCAAGACCGGCGGCCTTGGAAAGGTTTGAGATGATCTCGCGACCTTCGACGCGGGCATAGTAGTCCTCGTCGATGAGTAGCGGCTCGATGACGACGAGGATCTTGTGCACGTATGGCCTGACGAGGTCGTCGAGTTTGTACAAGACACGGTCGATGACTTTGACAAGCAAATGACGTTCTTGGTCCTCGAGTGTCCTCTCCATAAGTAGAGGAAGGATCTTGTCGAACAAAGGACCAGCGCCGAACTCGCGGGCTTTGTCTGTGATCTGGCGAAGAGCGGTCTTGCGCACGGGCGGAGTGCCGTTCTTAATCTTGAGCAAGAGACGCATGATCTTGCGCTCTTTCATTTCGTCGATAGACAACTCCGTCTCGTCCTCCTCTTTCAGGATCTTGGCAAAGTACTGCGCGTCTTCGGCCTTGAAGAACGCAAGGTTGCCCACGCCCGGGATCTCAGTCGGCAACTCGGGCGCAAGGCCGGCGGCAGCTGCCGCGGCAGCGGCGTCGGAGCTCTCCTGGATTTGGAAACCGCCTATCTCAGTTGACATGGGCGTCGCCATCAAGTTCTTCGGCCGGGTGGCGGGCGCATAGCCCGGCGGCGCGGTGACGATGGCGTAGCCTGTCTGCGGCAGAAGCGCGTCGAGCTCCTCGTCCGTGAGAAAGCGGTTGTGCTTGTCTTCGCCGCCAAACGAGGGAGCGCTCATGATGATCGGGATCAGCGGCGTCGACGCCACCTCGGCCGACGGCGTCTGGTCCCACCGCGACCTCCTGGGCGCTTCGCCCGATGCGGCAACGTCCGCCGGCGTCGCGTCCCACCGCGACCGGCGCTTCTTCGGTGCCGCGGCTTCGAGCGACTCTGCGGACCACTCGCCGGACTTGCCCTCCTCGGTAGGCTCCGCGACGTCCCACCGGCGCTTACGCTTCGTTCCCGCGCCCGCACGCGACTCGAGCTCGTCCATCGCCTCCTTGATCTCAGACGCAGGCGGTGTCTTGTCCAGGTCCATCTTCTCCGCGTGCTCCTCCCTCTCCCGCTTCTCCTTCTCCTCAATTGCGCGTCTCACACGTTGCTCCTCCTTCTCCAGCCTTTGCACACGCATAGCGTCCTGATATCCTCCTTCCACCTCCGTCCCTTCCTCGGCGGCCTTGAACGCGTCGGCACTCTCGTGCGCAACACGCTCGAACCGACGGTTATGGTAGTCCGACTGCCGCGCCGCTATTTGACGCTTGGACGCAGTCTCCGCGAACGGGTCAACATCCTCTTCCTCCGCCATTTCTTCAAATTCGCGGAGGACATCTTTGGGCGCCGAGAACGAGTCAACCAGGCGCGGCTCTTCCGACATGGTGTGCGTGGAAAGAGAGTGGGTGCGTTGGTGGGTGTTGGTGGTCCGAGACGAGGAGCAAACAACGCGCGCGCCGTGGCTCTGTCTGTGTCAGACAGAGTCCGCGTTCTCACGAATAAATCGCGGACGCGCGGCTTCCGCCGGAACTTCTTTCGCGACGACCATCGAGCTCATTGACGGTATACTCAAGTACTCCGTATCCATGAACACCTTGCGTGAATGAGCAAGAAGATACTCACAGAAGGGTGTGCTTTGCGCGTCTGGTTGAGTGTCGGACTTGGAGGATGGATGCTCTTTTTTGTTCATTTGGGGACTCGCTCTGTATTAGTATGCTATTTCCTGGCCTGAATACCCAGTACTAATGCGCATCTTTGAATATGACTTGATCCGAGTGCGAGCGAAAGCATGGTGTATACTGTGCTCACCGCTTCAGCGAACGCATGAAAGGAATGATGCGCCGCGCGCCATCTCGGGCTGGGCTCGGGGATCCTCCCCACGGCAGAACCGCGCCTGCTGTGCTACAAGGCTCATACGGCCGATACACGAGGCGGTGGCTTCTATGCATGGTGACCGGTAAGCTATAAGCTTGCGTCTCCTCGCAGAATATCAATATCCTTACTTCGACGTCCACTCGTGTAATCCGGACCGACCCCGAGCCGCGTTCTCACGAATCGGTGGCAAGCTCGCGTCGCGCTCTTCACCTTCTACCACGACCGTAAGCGTCGTCGAATCGACAAGGCCATGCTTGAAAAACTTCCTACCGAGCTCTTAGATCACATCTTTGTCTTCGTGCATCCCAAGCAGCTTCTCACTCTGCGGCTCTGTAACCAGTGGGCCAATGGACTGGTACAATTCTCATCGTGTGCTCAATATCGCATCGAGTGCTGGGCAGCGGGCGTGACTGACGATCGCATCCATCAACTCTCTTATTCCGAGAGCCTCTCACTGCTCCGTCAGCGAGAGGCCAGATGGCAGAGTGGCCGACCGCTCAAGAAAGTGAAGATCGGCGTACAGTCAGCGGATGCGGATGGCGGGGTTGGGCTCTATGACCTGAATGGCGGCATGCTCGCACTCGGCAGAGGACGGACGGGTTTCTCCATCTTGAAGCTCCCTTCGCTGTATGACTCTCCAAACTCCGATTCGCGAGAGTGGCGACACCATGATCTCGGCGCGGATATAATTGATTTTGCGCTTGCCGAGGAAGACGATGACCTGATAGCGGTCGTGACGAGGTGCGGATTCCCTCTCATCCGAACCATGCCCCTCTCTGAGATCTCGCTGTGATAACGGGAGTAGTAAGCGCCTAGAAGATATTCCTTTGGGAACGGACTTTCTCGGCATGGAAACGACCACCTGCTGCTTTGACCTTCATATATACTCCGCATCATCAGGAGATCCCCACCCTCGCTCCTTGAATCCTATCGTTCAACTCAATCATAAACGCGATGTCGTCCACGCCCCAAGTGCGGCAATTCAAGTCCTTGGAGATTATATTGTTGTCCTACTTTTCAACACCGAGGTTTACGGCGACGAGTACACCGACGAGTTGTATTGCGTCAACTGGAAGACGGGCACGAACACACTTGTGCGTCATGCGTCATCTCTCCCCTCATACTTCAAGATTTGCTAATCCTCGCCATACCATCATACCAGCTCTCAACATACCAAGCCCGCACATATCAATGTCCAGTCGTTCTCTCCGCCAGTCTCATCCTCCTCCCCAATATGCGCTCCAACACGCTCGATCTATACACCTTTCACGGCCTCAACGCCTCTAAACGGTCTACCCCTCGACTAACTCCACGTGGTTCGCTAGACCTACCGCCCATAAGTTCTGCATTCACGATGGTCGGTTACCAATGCATCTCCAGGCCCGGCCTGGGTCTGAACGCCGAGAATCACCCTATCCGCGTTCGCTCGTCCCCCGAAGATGCCCTTGTAGTCTTCGCACCCTTATATCGGCCTCAGGGCCTCAGAAGGGCGACGCTAATCGTGCATCGCAGAATCCTACTCTCAGCGGCTGCTCTTCTTATTTCTGCTCACGGCAACGGTGGTCCATCCATCCCATACGCGCGCTGGGGCGCGGGACGATGTTCGTGGGGAAGCGGCAGTGTGCAATGGATAACGATGTTGGCGGGACAACGCCTTTGTGCCAGATCTGCCTGGATACCGAGCGTGCGCGGCGAAATTCCTCTGAGCGTGCGCGACTACAATCCTCACAACGTACGACGAGCCTTGAGCTCGCTGAACAAACGTGATGGCGACTCCGGCATCGGTGACGGGGTTATTGACCCTGCTGTCACAAGAGTGGTCGTGCCCGGCCCGGGGGAGAAGGTCACGTTTGGGGGTCTCTTTGTAGAGGGTGTTGAGTCGAGGCTGCCGTACGTTGAGACGAAGATCGAGGTTGAGGACGACGTGCGCACTATGACTTATATGCTCGATGACGAGCGATTGATCGGGATCGAGGTGAGTCTCTCGCTGTGGATGGTCTACTGCCACCTGGAACCGACACTGTATTCATCGCTTTGAACAGCAAAGCCCTGCTTCACTCAACGTTCACAATCTCCACATTCAAGTCTTCGGTTGAGATGCATAATCGGAAGGGGCGAAGCTAACGATGTGTCGGGTTTGGAACAAAAGTGCGTACGATGAACTCGTTTGCAAGGTCGAGGCGTCATACATGTACAGCTTCTGTCTCGTGTAAACGATCACTCATGCAATAATCATGTGAACTGTTTCCGAGGACTGCATACTTGCGTGCAAACTGATTAAATGCACGAATTCATTCGGAAATAATTGTCTATAATCCCAAAGAAAATCCTCTAAGCCAGTGTCTATGTCCCCTGCCCCTATATCCCAAACGAAAAATGCCCACCCTTCCCTTTACCCTATGCGCAAGCGACGGTAGACGCCCTCGCTATCGGGCGCATACACATACCCGAACCCATCGTCATCCCACTTGTCCTCATCGTCCTCCTCGTCTTCCCCTTCCGGCTCAAACCCGTGACGCTTCACAAGTCTCTTCACCTCCACCTCGTCCCGCTTCTCGTGCGAGCGATGCGGTATGTGCTTGCAGTGCTCATCGTCCTCCTGATCCCACCCGTCTAGCCCATACCCGTCCTCAGTATCGCAGCCGTACGCGCTCTTGTTATAGCCGTATGCGTACTCCTCCGCACGCTTGGCCTTCAAGCCGTTCTCATCCGGGTAGGATTCGAAGTGAATAGCGGTGTACTCGTCTTGTGGGTCCTCACTGCGTCCATACGTCTCCGAGTAATCGTATGTGCGCCGAGAGGAAGGAGCCCTGAATACGCTGCCGGATGTGTCGACGTGCGTGCCCATGCCGACTGCCGAGCCTGAGGATGATAGGCCGGAGAGAAGAGTTGTGGCGGTACCGGCTGCCTCTTCGAGCTCTGGAGCAGGAGCAGCAGGGCCAGCAGAAGAGGTACTAATGACACAATCAGTCCTTGACCTCCGAGTTTGAGTCGGCGCGAAAGCTCACAGTGGTGCGGCCTGCGCGGTCAGACCAAGAGCCATGGAGATGAATACAGAGAGTTGGAAGGGAGTCATGATTCGAAGCGAGTATGAAGTGTGCAATGAGAGAACACGAGGGCGGAGTACTTACGAACATTATATAGATGAGCGAATGGCGGCTAGTGGATGGTACCGGCCCCCGGACTCACGGGTTGCCTCCGGTTAGTGAAGGGTCGAGGATGGGCATGCCGGGCAGCATGGACCCTGTCTGACGGTGTATCGGCGCATATGGACATTATGTGAAGCATACCTCCTTACTTCAAATCATATAATCTGCGTAGCATGCTGTGAGGGAAGACGTTGAGCTACTCCTGTCTCTCGTAACGTAATGGTTAGTGCCAACAATATCCCGAAGAAGCCGACCCTGCCTACATGAGACGCCTCCTGAAGGGTAAATTTGGCACAGCCATTATGATATAGACCATACAGGACAAGCTGTTGAAGACAAGCAAGAAAGCTTATGCTGGCCTTGCGTAGATATAGCAGTCTTCTGAAGAAGGACTGAGGCAAAGAGTCGCCGAAGAGGAGAACACGATTTCTGTCGAGCGGTAAAGCGAAGCGACAACAATCAGGTAGAGAGACTTTTGCTTCGGCTATCGAGTTACCCGGTTATGTTGTTGCCCGACGGCCGCCTGAAGTCGGCGGGCGAGTCAGGGAAGCAAGACTATTCGGTGAGTCGAACGTTCATTTGGCCGACCCTCGCACACCAAATATAAGAGAGGGGTAATGCGACGCGGTCATCCGATGGCGGGCGCCTTGACAGAGGCGAGTTCTACTCATCGTGAATGCGAAGGGAGGTAAACCTAACAATGATCTGATCGACGGGGTGATCGTGGCTGCAAGAGGCAAAGCGCGACGACGCGACGCGGACTCGCGGAGGCGCGGTTGGGTGATGCGAGGCGCGCGTCAGGGGTTTGTAGGTCCTCGTGGACACGAGTAGATCCCGTCTCATCCTCCTCAGTCTTTGGGCAACGTCTGCAATCAGAATCAGGATGGCATCGTGTATATGCATAGGTCATATGGAGGTAGTATACAATCGGTATGGCAGTTCTTGTTACCTGTATCGGACGAGACTGAATATGTAGTAGACATAACGATACAGTGCATGTGGAAAGCAGTGGCAAGAAAGCAGGACGGCAAAGCGAGGCATCATGCGGTGGATGAGGATGTGTACAGCTGGGGTAGAGCGTACAGCGATGAAGGGGATGATGATGATGGTAGTACAAGACTGGGTAATCATGATGGTGGGTGACCGTATATAGGAAGGGTATGGGGAGGGATACACTCAGCTGGTGCGGACGACGTATCCCGACTGCGAAGCCTGAATCGTCGCATTGTTCAGCGCGCCCTGCAACTCTTCGAATTTAATCCGTTGTTCTGCAGAGTGGAACGGTTGCTCAGCTTCGTGTGAACAGCGTATAATAGTGTAGAACGCACCAACGCAGGGGAAGAGGTTGGAGAGATGAGCTATTGGCATCATGAAGTCGCGGCACACGTCGAGCGCGATGGTCAATGAGTTGTCGAGTGACCAGAGGTGCAGAGCTCTGTCAAATGGAACTTCAATCAACCCAAATCGGGCCAGCACTATGATAATCAACGCACCGCCGAACTTGACCCATGAACCACCAAACGAAGTGCGGCCGGTGCGCTAACGTATGCCCGCGCGATCCCGATACAGCCTGGAGGGAATGCGCTGCCATCTTCGCACGACGGCCTTGATCGCGAACTGTAAAAATTCAACACGTCAGCTCTTCCGCATGACCCATGTACGATGTCTGCAGAATGAGAAGGGACGGTGCAGACAACGCGCAACAGGGGCACGACGCGTCAGTCGCGCGTAACAGGGGCAGGAACACGGCGGACCCGGCCGCAGGACCCGCCGCGCCCGCGCCGCGTCCCGCTTTACGCGCATCTTAGCATCTGTACCGAGGCGCCAGGCTTACTGCATCCGTATCGGGCATCGGAGCCCGTGCTACTACATCAGAAGAGAACCGGTTTCGGCTTCCGAACGAGCCCAGCAAGAATTCTTTTTGCGGGAGGCGGCCGAGCGGATGGAAGTGCATATATGAAGGGAAGGCGGAAGAAAAAGTGAATCGACGTACGCCACTCCTCGCTCTTCTCCCGCCCAACACCGGTCATGCTGTGGATTACCTCCTTGAGTATGCGTTTAAATATGGATGGACTGGGGAAAGAACGTACACGTGAGGGATGAACCGACGGAACTCGAACGAGATGCACATTCGGGTGCTGTTGCGTCAGGGTGCAGAAGGGTGCGAGGCGCGCAGGGTGCAGTTGGACAATACAATGAAGGATACATGACACCTGGTCAGCATCCGCGCGATGTACATATAGCCAAGCCGAGGAACGCACTTGAAGAGGTACTCGCGCCCATGATAGAGCATCGCCGGCTCAACGCTGCATGTATGCACGTTCAACGCCTTTTCGATGGCCTCTGTTTCGAGCCACGCCTTCATCGCGAATGCCGCAATCTCGCTATCTTGCATTTCACCCGAATGCCCGCCGTCATACACGCCATAGCCATGCATAACTGAGGATTCGTTCGGGATCGACCTTCGGCGTCTACCTTCAACGCGTGAGCGCATCCTGAGGCAGGCAAGCCATAGGAGCATTGCGCGAAGGTAGAGGGCCCAGACGGATCGCTTTCCCGTACCGAGCGCTTCGCCAGGGAAGAGAAGATTGAACTAGCGGCAGTTGTCAGAGATGGATGGAAGAGACGTGAGCTACGCACGTTTCCTGGCTCAAGCAACGACAACTCCGGCACGCCATACCCTGATGCTGCGGCATAGCTACTATACGCCGCCGCCAGCGTCATTGCGCTCCATGCTAGTCGTCGGCAACCCTCACGCCGTACCTCAGCTGATGACCAGTCATTCTGCCACGCAGGCGAAGTCACCCAAAACGGAGTGTGCTGTGCGGCGCCAGGGTCGACGCGCCCGAGAGTGAGTTCATCGCACGAGCAGCCACGCTGTCCCGGCGAGTGTCGATGTGCCTGCGCGCTTGTCGATTGTGTCGGCGGCGACTGGCGTTGGCGCTGCGGGAACAGGTGCTCGTGGAGTGCCGGTCCTTGATGCTGGTGTTGGTGGGATATGCTACGAGGCGGGCTAGTTCTGGCGGGCATCCCGTCCGACGCGATCTCTTCAATCCCGCTACGCACGACGGGAACCTCGCCTCTTGCGTATCCGCTTCAGCAACATCAGCTCAAGCTGACATCGTGACGAAGCTGACATCGTGACGGATGATGGGACGTACCTGGCGGTGGGATCGCCCGCGTCGAGGGCGGACAAACGCAGGTGCTGCATCAGCCCATCAAGAACATGCAGCGCACTGCGAACACGTCCGTGCTGGTGCGCTGGGTGACAGCATTGTTCGAAGAAGGCGAGGATCTATGCAAAACACGGTCATCAGCGTCTAGCCACCGAGCTTCTATCACATGAACCGGAAGAGAGAAAAGCACATACCCACGCAGCTCCTGCCAGTTCTTCGCTGATACTCCGAGAGCTTAGCGCCGCCTCGAGCGCACCTTGAGCCTCATCTCTCAATTTCAGTGCGCGGCGGCGACCCTCGGCACCGTCTCCAGCTTCGCTACTATAGGCGTTGTCAGCGCTCGTTACCCACGACGCACACCCGTGACGCGTACCCTTGGAATAGTGCGCTAATGGCACAGACGGCGAGCACCAGGGCGGGGCAAGCCCTCTCAGGCGCGGAAAGCGATGCGTAGAACGTGGGCACATGGAGGAAGAAGAGCCAGTGCGGGGCGACGGCGAACAAGAACTTCACGTCCTTCATGATGGCAGCTCGCGCAGCACGTCTCCCTCCCAGACCCAGTTGCCCTTGCGTGGGGTCCGAACCCGACATTGAAGCGCCCAGGTTAAGCGTGAGGGGGGCTTGCGATGAGGAATAGAGTGATAGGAGACCGTCCCACCATGTCTGTCGAGTGAACGCGAAGGAAGGCTCGGCGCTGACGCCTGATACTGCAACTTCATGGCTATCGTATTTCTCCTCGACTTCTTCATAGAAGGACGGCGGAAGCCCGTAGGAAATCCCCGCGAACGAGCTGGTGCTCGCGCTCCGTTGGCGGGAATGCACCGGCGTATGCGCAGGCACGAAGTGGGGTTGTGCATGGAGAACGGGTTGTGTTTGGGACGGGTTGATGTGGGGGGGTTGAAGGATCGCAGGGTACTGCGTATGTCCTTGGCTCTGTGCGGTTCCGGGCGGCGAGGGATACTGGTACTCGTACGCCTGAGGCTGAGCCAGTGTCGACGTCAACAAAAAACCTGCGCTATCGACCACCTGACCATTGGCAAACGTTGACGAACTTGCGCCGTACGACTGCCCCACGATTTCAGGCGACCCAAAAGATGCATGCGAAGAGCTGTCCACACTGTACTTCCTGGCGGCAGCATATACCGGGTATACTGGTGCCGACGTCCCTGCGGAGTTCGACGAGAGGTCCCTTGCACGTTGACCTGCCATCCCAGCGTGATCCATCACGGCCGTTGGACCGGCGAAGTCCATTCCAGTTGTTACTGGCGTGGAATAGGTTGCTGAATGATCGATGTGATATCCACCATTGACATCGGGAAATCCCTGCGATGGAACGACGTATCCTGCCGGGGCGAATCCTCGGACATGCGAAGCCGGTGTCAGCGGTACCGCTGACGACGACGGACTCTGCTCGTGCGCAAACGGCGAAGTCTCCTGGGCATATGACCTTGATAACTCCTGTGAGTAGTTGTCATTCGCCGCATGGCTCGAGTGCTGGTCGTATGTGTAGGTCGTCGACCCAATTGAGGTGTATGCCGCGCTGATAGGCTCGTGTACAAATGTCGAGCTGACAGAGACGGCACTTTCCGGCTCGCGTGCGTACGAGGTCTGCGCATAGGCGCTCGTGTCAATCACAAGCGCGCCCTGCTTTATGAGCGTCAGATCGGCGTCAAACTCTTGAACAAGGCTGCCCATTTCTGGATATTCCGGATGAAGGGTATACGCACCGGTACCGCTCTGTGGGGTAGGGCCGCGTACGACTGTCCTGGTATCGAGGACTGCACAGGGAGGGGGAGCACACCATTGCTACCTGTGGCACTGACAGGAGATAGACTGCCAGTATCGGCGCTGCTTGCGTATGTCTCTGGCCCGCGATCTCCTGTCCTGACCTCAACTAAATCCCCTCTCAATAGATCACCCTGTCCATCGTATACACCGTCCAACTCGAAATCAGGCTCGTTGTGATCATACTCGTGCTCGCTGCGTCGCCTTCGTCTCTTCACTGGCGGTTCTCCAAGTCCTCTTCGAGAACGCGCGCCCGGGAGTCGGTCAGGTCCTCGCCGACGCGGCGCAGAGTCATACGTGCATTCGCTCGCACCGGATGCACTTCGTTGCGTACAGTTGTAACATGCTGGTTTCGCGCCGTCACAGCGTATCTTACGCTTTCGGCTAGATAGAATAGTGATATGTAGATGAGTATCATAGATCATGATCACCATACCAGAATATATGACGAGTACGTACCACTGCGCACAAGCTAGAAACACCCGTGCTCGCGGTTTGCCTTGCGTCGTTGGCGGCTGTGAAGGATCGAGCGCAAGTTTGGGCCTCTCCTTGCGTGCCACTCCGCCCTTAGTCTTTGCTGCAACTTCGCTGGCCATTGTCCTCGCGCAAGCACTCGCTGATCCAGATCCTGTGCGCGCCACTTTCCGATTCGCCGCGGTTTCCGCGTGCCAAGTTTCACGCGCTCGAGAGTCGTGTGGATGGCGAGGTTAAAACCCTGGTAGATGGGAGCCAGAGGCAAAGAACGGACAAGCGGAAGGAAGCGCAAGGTGAATCCACTCGAGCTCTGTTCAGCCGACGGAGTAAGCTGCAGCTTAGGGGCGCGAGACACGGACCGCCCGTCCCACGTGTATGTGGCCCCGCCCTATTATCCTTTCTCAACCGCCAACCACCATCTGGTTCTCAACCTTCCCCTCCACTGTGCCCTGCCACCTCCCTCTCTGGCAGTCGGATTTCCTCTTTCGCGGTTGTCCGAGTCGGATATCACGCTCTTGATCTAAATCATTGGGCAATTTTAGCCAGGGCGTTGCTCAAGTGAGCGGGGCGTCAGGGAAGACGTCAAAGCGCTCTAGCCTGCGGAAGCGAGCTGTCAAACTAAAAGCTTATTTCGGCCGGCGGCAACTTGCGTCGCGACGCAGCGCGGCCGATTGGATGGGACTGAATGAGATGAATAGAGTATGGCATCTGTATAGGCAGGCGTTACATCGGGCCCGTGTGGCGAACGTCTTTGAAGGCGAATCGGGTGTGTTATGAAGATCACAAGACAGTCACTTCGTTGACTCTCAACTCTTCTTCTCGCCTAAAGTTCAGGCGTCTTTGACGTGTATCTCGTTGGGGCACGCATGGTCGCCTCGAAGATCAAGACACGGCTACAACTGGTAGCTCACATAGCGACCCAGGCAGTCGAAAGAATCAGGGTTAGCACGAGCGCAATAGAGTCATTCTTGCGCGCTCCGACATGCCCGCGCCTATCGACGCCCATCGGCATCAACATCAGTATGCAGACTCCTCGTGCATGTGTACACGGAATTCCGAGCGCCAGATTCGCCACGATAGTGCCTGCTCGTGCTGCCGTCTTTCCTTCAACTATCTTAGCTCTACCTGTTGTGTGGAGGCTCGGTCAACACTTCGTTGCCCTCGCCGATCGCTGCTTGTCTCAGCTTGACCGTGCACTCGCGGCGTGTCTCGCGGCGTTGCGCAGAACGGCGCAGCGATCAAGCATGTTTCATGTCGTGCCGTACCTGATTGCAAGCAGGCGGACTTGCGTGTTTGGACGACAGTCATGAGGAGACATTACCAATAGGCATTGGTCTTCTTTCTTCCTGAACGAGGCGCTGAACACGTTACTGGAGCAACCATCGAGGCTCAACATTGGTTGATACATCGAAGAATGTAACTTTGAAGTGTCCGTCGCTCAAAAAGGATTATCTTGTGCACACGAGGGACACATACCAGCGCGTGCGGGATGCGCATGAGGTGCTCACAGCCCTTATTCGGGGCGCTGATTTCACCTGCTGACGGACAAACCTTCGAGACGCGGAGCGCAGGTTGCCAGTATTGCAATTCATGTCAGACGAGAGGCTACTTCTGAAAGTGTAGAATGAAGGATTCACCTATGGAAAGGAACTCGTCGTCGCAATGAGTCGATGCCGGCGTACGAGGTGCATTCTGATCACGACACCCACGGGCGGACCTTCAGAGGCCTTCCTCATCATCCGAGGTACCCAAATACTTCGGCAGTGTTGCCGGCGGCTAACCAGCATGGCGAGACGCAAATATTGAAGAGGGCCTGATGCAGGTGAGCGTTATGAAGTTCAGGGGATCCAACCCTGTCCCACCGCTACGGCCAGACGGCTTCTTCCCTCTGGTCACGATGCTACTCGGCACTGCAGTGGTCTTGTACAACGTACTATAAATATTCACAGTAGAGCCCGTAGGGAGTTACGGATGAAGCGAAAGGCTCTTGTCTTCGCGTACGACGATCGAATGCGTCCGCCACCGGGTCGTGACGAGCATCGGCAAAGACTGTACCTAAGAGACACCCTGATCCATTTGAATATATGCGCAGATAGCTCACTATAGCGAAGAGCGCTAACACAGCCCTATCGTCTCTAGTCCTTTACTCTAGATATATGGACGCTGTCGATCTTCATCGAAGCTTCATCGATCAGATTGAACGGATTCTGCGAGGCAAACGCTGACGACTCGAGAATCGATGGTAAGGGAGCGCAGAAATGCATATTGGATCAAGACTTGATTACAGTAAGCTGGATGGGCAAGGAGATGATGATGGTTCCGGACAACGTCAACGTGTGCATCGATGTCCTTCAGTTGCGCAGTTGGAGGCACGCTCGCTCAATCCGCCTCCGCATCAGGGCCCGACGGCATACGTATATCGAAACACTTATCTACATACGTATGTGATAGGGCCCTCGTGCTGTCAGGTACGGCGTGAGAAATAGTCCTTGACACGCGTCTAAGCCAGTGAGGCTGCGTCCATGCGTCCTCCGAAGCCGTTAGGCGAAGAGTTCCTCGAAAAAAGCTAAAAGATATGGACGAGTTGGGGATTGAACCCAAGACCTCATGCAGTCGAATCAAAGATGCGAAGCAAGCGCGCTACCACTGTGCCACACGCCCATAGTACTCAAACTGAATATAGTAAGTCTCGGGGTCATGATAATAACTAAGGTTTTTTTTGGTCGAACGTCGAATTTGACATTTTCCTCATTTGAGCCGCAGTCCCGGCAAAGTAAAGTACAGCTTTACTTTCTCAGTTCTACCTGTTTGCAGGCAGCCCATCAACAGTATTCGCAGTGTGCATTAAAGTGGTAAAGATTGGAGGAGGTCAAACAAAGGCACAACATGCGAGGCGAAGCAACAAATGTCCATGATCGTGTGATGTCCGTGAATGAAGAGGATAAGGGCAGTCTGTCTCGTTTAGAGGGCCGCGAAGAAGGCAGTGACGGCGCCGATGCCGACGATGGCAGCACTGCCGCTGAGGGAAGACGCGCCGCTCGAGTTGGAGGCAGAGGGGGATGCCGAGGCCGATGTTCCCGACGGCGACGAACCACTGGGGCGCGAGCCAGCGGATGACCCACTCGCGGCCACTGCGGTACCGCTACCAGCCGCTGCCGAGCCGCTGGCTGTAGCCGTACTGTTGCCCGAGGCCGTTCCGCTGGCAGCGGCGGAGCCACTGGCCGCGACTGAGGTGGCGTTGCCGCTGGTGCCCGTTGTTTGAGAAGGGAAACCAGACGTAGCGGTGGCATCCGCGCCAGTAGTAGCCGTACCGGACTGGGCGGGGTCCGACCCAGTCGCTGTGGAGTCTGACCCGCTGCCTGAGACGGCGCTGGTTTCGATCGTCGACGGGAGCGACGTCTGGACCGCCGACGTGGCCGGGTCTGCAGAGGTTGTCGCCACCTGACGCTGTGCCAGCTCAGGTGCAGCGAGAACTGCGAGGAAATGAGGATTTATCGACGGGACAGAGCTGGCAGACAAACATACCACCGGCAACAGCGAAAGAGAGGAGGGTAGCGAAGACGACCTTGAACTGCATGGTAAATAGCGAGAAAACTGGAGTAAGAGTTGCTATATTCGGTGAGGCCTAATGGGGCAGCTTTTAAGGCGTACTCCAGCGGTGGGTCGTGCCCGTGACCTTGCATTGACGCAGTGCCAACGGCGTATGGTGACCGTGATGAGAGGGTCGTGTTCAGGCTGCGGCCTGCATGACCCGCATTCGAAGGCTGACACGCTGACACCACTACACGATCTTCAGGATCTAGAGCCATCCACATGGGATTACCCGTAGAAAGCTCGTCGAGGACAACCTGTTGTAAATGAGGTTACATGATGTCAATATGCAGTTCGGAGCTGTAGCTAGCCAGGTCTCTATCGTGACGAGTACACCGGGCACGTAGCGTACGGCCAGGTAACGCTCTCCACTCGCAGAACGTAGTGCTTCACACTCCATAAAATCTCCGAAACGATCTTTCGAAATGAGGGGACTGCGCACAATATCGATGAATAGCACACATCGGCGACGGACTCATGGACTCCACCGCGCTTCTCTCCCAACCCTGGTGGCACAGTCTCATGGACTTGTGGACCAGTGACTTGTTGGCCGATTGGAAACGGGGATGAGGTGAAAGACGGGGATGCATGCACGATTGCCGTTGCTACACCCCCCGAAGAACAGCTTGGCGGAGCGACGATTGACGAAGTATGTCCGTAAACTTCTCCTCGTTCACGCCAGAAGTGCAAAGCCAAGGCAGTGTAGGCCAAGAATAAACCGAAAACGTTGCTCGGTGTGAGCTCATATGTCCGTATCACCGACATAAGCCAAGACAGACAAGTTGAGAGCATGCGTTCGTCAATAGTTGACCTAGCGCCTATGAGAAGGCGGCATCATTGAGAAGTGTACATCGTGACATCGCCGCAAGCGCCCGGTTGATTGAGCTTCAGTTTATAACTGGAGGCATCCGTTACGCCAGTGCAAGCGCTCTCCCGACCGTTGTCGACGACGCCGACGGCACTCCGCACGCAGTTATCACAATATCCGGAAGAATGCCTCAACCATATATAGGGCGGACAGGTCGTGCGATGTGGATGGTGGCGGTCCGGAAGGAAGTGGCTCGGTAAAGCCGCACGGGGCGCCGCCTTTCCGTCAACTCGCAATGTCCACGGCACGCGCTCTACTCGCCGTTCGACCTTTTCATCGACCCTCATCTATCTCTCGTACCCTTCGCGCACCTTGTCTTTCAGCGCAGCGACGTCGAACAATGGCTACCCAAGAGTTCAAACAGGTGCGGAAAGCACTTGATCACGCGCGCCATGGCGGCGGCGGCGACACGGAGAGCGCGCAACTGACGCGTCTTGTACCATCTATAGGCTCCTCACTCGTGAGTACAGTATCCTTGTGTACTGCGCAAGTACAAGCAGCTGCTAACAATGTCGTATGGGATATAGGCTCCTAGTGTACGTGCTCATATCTGTATGAATCGCCAAAACGCGGGCTCATCACTTTTCCTAGGATCCCCGGCCCTATCGAGGTCACCGATGAGGTACGTGTATACTGCCGTGGATGGCGATGGACAACATGTAAACAAATCCTCTGTGCATAGGTGTTATTCGCCAATGCGCATCCATCTGTCTCCCATATGTCTGGAGACTTCACGAAAGCCTTCGGTGAAAGCATCAAGATGACGAGGTGAACCCATGACCAGAGCCTGTATGTCTATGCTGACACTGGTTTAGGGAAGTTCTCTTCACACAGACGGCGCAACCGTTCCTCATCTCGGGCTCCGGCACTCTTGGTTGGGACCAGGTACTTCCCGATCGCGCCCCAATACGGTCTTGAATCGCCATGCTGAGGTTATGACAGGTTTCTGCCAACCTGATCCAGGCTGGCGAGAACGTACTCGTACTGAACACCGGCTACTTTGGAGACAGCTTTGCTGACTGGTACGGCCGTCTCAATATCTTACTTCTACGACACGCCTGACTCTTTGGACCAGCTTATCCACGTATGGCGCGAATGTTGACCAGATCCGGGCCGACTTCGGCACCACGGTTGACCTTGCAGAACTCGAGAAGGCACTGTCTTCCAAGAAGTACAAAGCTGTGACTATTACACACGTTGATACTTCGACAGGTCTGTTCTTTCAATCTCCGTCTCGCCTAACTCTCATTGACTTCTCCCACCAGCTGTCCTTACGCACCCAAAGCCTATCGCCGACATCGTCAAGAAGGTCTCCCCAGATACGCTCGTCATCCTCGATGCCGTTTGTGCTGTCGCAAGTGAAGAGATCCGCATGGATGCATGGGGCATCGACGTCGTCCTCACCGCAAGCCAGAAGGGTCTCGGTGCGCCTCCGGGCCTGAGCATCGTTGTCGCAAGCGAGAAGGCGTTGGCGGCCTTCAACGCTCGCACAGCCCCTGTGCCCGCATTCTACGCGAGCTGGAAGCGTTGGTTGCCGATCATGCAGGGCTATGAGAAGGGCGCACCAGCGTACTTCGCTACGCCGCCGGTCAACCTCATCTACGCGTTCCACCAGGCGCTTACGCAGATCACGCGTGGCGCCATCTCGCTCGAGGACCGCTTCAAGGGGCACCAGGAAACGAGTGCTCGCGTAAAGGCAGCTGCGAAGGAGCTTGGTCTGGGATCCGTTCCAGTCGACCCTTCTGCTGCAGCGAACGGCATGACGGCCGTACGTCATTCCTTTGCATCTGTGTCATACTCTGGCTCACTTAAGATCAGGTCTACTGCCCTGAGGGCGTCAAGTCCTCTGAGCTAGCACCCGCTTTCATGAAGAAGGGCCTCATCATCGCCGGTGGTCTGGGTACGCGTAAGGACACGTACTTCCGCATCGGACATATGGGCGTAACGGCCGTAGATGGCTCTCGAGGCGATGTTGACAGGATCATCTCCGTCCTGCGCGAGGTGATCGCGGAGAAGACTGGCAAGGTGTGAAGGGCGCATGCGCAATATACCTTTATCGCAAGAAATAGATGATTGTAACATTGTAACAAATAGGATATCCGCCACAGCAAAGCGCTTCTCTGATAAAAGCCCAGCACCGCAGGCGCGTGCAACCCGGGCGTCATCCGTCATCGACACCTCAGTTTCCCGGCTGTTGTTGTCGACTAAAAGTACGATGCTCCTCACATGGCAGGGCACATCTCACGCAAGGACTTCAAGCCCATTCATTCAACAAGTATATGATATATACGCATAATAGCAGCATGTTATTGAAGATACGACACGTATACGCGCGACACGAAGAGCAACGAAGCGACAACAGACGGATCCTGACGAACGAAAGATAGAAATGTGTTACGTTGATCTTGATGATAGTGATATCTTTGGCTAGTTCCTGCGAAAGGTCCAGCACGTTGACGTCCTCGAGCAACTTGCAGAAGCGCGAGCACGTTCCACAGGGCAGCATCGGCAGCACCGTCCCCCAGGTTAGACACGCCCCTTCATCTGGACCTTCTTGCTAAACTTCTCGTCGACGACACGAGCCACAGCCGCCGCTGCCGTTGGGCACGCGAACTGCTTGTTCTCGTCGACGTCGTTAGGATTCGTGAAGAAGGCGATGCCATGCGCGACCAAGAAAGCGTATACTTCCGCGAGAGAGTCAAAGCCAAGTTCCAAGTGAAGGGCAGCCACAGAGATCTGCTTGTACCTGCAAACTAACGTCAGCTGATGAAAGGATGCGCAAGCTAAGGAGACGCACGCTTTGCAGATGACGAGCAAAGCACGCAGGCGCTCGCGGTCGACCAGATGATCCATGATGTATCCCCCCATGTTCTCTACCTCCGCGTAGAGCTTGAACAGAGCATGATAGTTACCAAGTGTCATAGCACGATGAATAGCCAACGCTTGACTGATAGCGGGGTCCTGTTTCTGTTCTTGCGTTAGTCGCCCCAAATGAAGATTCAATGCTGAAACGCCGCGTCAGGTTCGGTACAGCATCGAAGTCGAAAGAGCAGACCGCTAAAGTTTCGTCCGTAGCATAGCATGAGGATGGTGTAGGCGGTGAATTCATCCCGTCTTCCAGCAATGCCCATGTCATAGAGACCGCTGAGCATGTTCAAGCACGAGTTGAACTCGGGAAGATCCTCCTACATAGTCACTCATTGTCAGAGATAGGGCGGAAGAACATCGGAATGTCCTGCTCACCATCTCCAACGCCATCCGAGCATGCGCCTCATAGACTTGCACCGTGAACTCATTCTTGATGCGTTGCACCTGTATCGCAGTCAGGAACTAGCCTTGACAGGTATTCGCGAGTAGTACGCACGACGAGGTCTTGACGCAAGCTCTTGAACCAGCTCGTTATGTGGTTATAGGGAACCACGTCTCGTGGTTCACGCCATTTCCGCTTGAGCTCTGCGAATGTCTTATGCAATACGGGGAGCGGACGAACGTTCTCAGGTTGGGGAGCCTGAAACAGATGTGAGTCGAGTGCAAGCTGCGAGAGGAGTCACGCACAGATGTCAGGCGGAAGTAAGGGCGGAGCACTTCTTGGGAGGTTCCCACAAGCGTATGATGATCCCAGTTCGGCACATTCTAGGTATCAGGCGTCAGATCGATGAGTCGGTGAGTCGATGAATGTAGGAGTATCACGCACTGGATCCATCAATGCCTCCTCATCGTCATCACCGAAAGTAGCTCGAGCGCGGGCGTAACCACCGTGCTTATTGTTGTGGTGAGAGCCAGACTTCTTGCCATAGCCGGAAAACGATACACCCTTGGCCTTCTGCTGTTCGATCGCATGTTCACGTTGGAAACGCTGAGCCCGTCGCTCCAGAGCAGCCTTGTCATTCGGGTCAAGAGCATTAGAGGATACGGACTTGGTGATCTGCGACTGTTTCTTCTTGGCCTTCTTTCCAGTCGGCTGAGTATGTTGAACGCCGTCGTAATCATTACTACACTGGAGTCAGCTATGCAATGGTCATTGAGATGAGGTGTACGCACAATTTACGCTTGTTGCCAGTGGGCATCGGCTTGGGAAGTAGACTGCGAACCTCGGTGACTAAGTACTGGGTTAAGGGTCAAGCGACGCACCTTTGCAGTTGTACTGCAGCCCAATCTGTGGTCCACATCGTACCGGTCATCTGTGCCTCGCTAATTACCTTTTTCATTTCATTTGTAGCATCTGCCCGATTGGATTCCGGTAAGCTCTGCATTTGGCTGAAGCAGCGTTCGACCCAAGCTCTGCGAACGCATGAGTCAAGTGACAAGATGGACGTTCAACCAATCCTTACTTGAGCTGGGGCGGCATGGGAGTAGCACTCATGTTAAATTATAGCCGCGATAGTTCAAGAGCGATGTTGCCAGGGAGAAGTGGCGGATAGGGTCGTTGAGTGAGGTCGCGGTGGAAGAGCAGAGCAAAGCTTGCGAAGCGCGCGCGGCAAGCTAGGGACCGGTCCGGCGATATCCGGGCCAAACCACAGAAAAGAACCGCATATTTCGTGTACATTTCACAGCTTTCGTTCCGACAAACGCCAAAACAAGTCTAATGAGTGATCTACATTACGAGTACAGATATAAGTTAGCAGAGCCATATGACCGTTCCGCGCCCTACTGTACAAATCGGAGAAGATACACGGGCAACACCCAGTGCTTCAGATGGAAGATACTACAGTCTATATGGTATACATGTACATGACATTCTGTTCACGGGGCATAGTCGAAACGTACATCAATGGTGATGGTGCTTCTTCAGTCGGTCAAAGATGTTCCACGAATGATGCTTATGCTTCTCCTTGCGTTCGTCCTTGTCATGGTGATCGTGGTGAGCAGAGTCAACCGACGTCTGCCGACGGTGTTCATGACCATCCTGAGAGGTGTGAGGTGTATACACCTTCTCCGCTTGGCGCTCATGGTGGCGATCTGCGCGGCGCTCATCACGCATTCCTGCATAATACGAAGAAATCACATACACAGGTCAGAAGCCATGCATACGGAACCAAGAACGGCTAGAGGTAGGTATACCTTGTTCTTCCCCCGGAGCGTTCGGCCGCGTCTGACGACGCGGAGGTGGCGGAACGGTCGGTGAGGGTGGTGAGTGGTAGCGGCTCATGGGAGGCGGGGAGTCATAGCGTGCTCGTTGTACGGGGGGCGGGGG